CTCTCACATGCTTCGACTTTCAAGGTCATTTTTCTATCAGAAAAGACGAAGAAAGGGATGAAGAATCGAGTAAATCCTCAGCAGGAGAATGACAACCTGCAAATGCAGAGTAGCAGAAATGTCAACGCAAACAAATGTAAACAAGGGGGCAAAATGAAACATGAGGGTGATAAAAAGGAAGGAAAAAAATCAAACGATTAAAGCCCGTGAAGTGAAAAGGCAAAGGTATCTTGGTAATATCATGTAGCAGACAATACGATTGAGGGACGTCTTGACAGTTTGTATTAAATGCAAACGGCGTGGAAGGGATAACGACGCATGTCAGACCTATAAAAAAATGCCACGTAGAAAGCAGTTATCATTGCTTGGAAGAAATAACGTCTCGCGGAGCAAATTGAGCCTGATAAGCAGGGATATGAAGAGTTTATACTGTTAAAGGAGTTAAGCAGGGGTAATATCAATACCTCGGTTACGAAAGTATACAAAATCCAAATATAGATCATAGAATATCCCCATGCCTTGGTTCTATAATTGTGTGCACTCAGTTCAAGCTGCTTTTACACCTCGGTTCAGTCTGCATCCCGGGTCAACAGAGTTCAAATATGGATCATAGGATATCCCCATGCCTTGGTTCTATAATTGTGTGAACTCGATTCAAGCTGCTTTTATGCCTCGATTCAGGCTGCATCCCAGGTCAACACAGTCCAAATATGGATCATACTAAACTCGTAATGAAGCATATAAAAGCGGAAACAAAGCCCCTAAGCCAGCAGGATCAAAGAAAAGACTCGGCTAAAAGAGTTTTTATTCCTGAACCAAGCCAAAGCAAAAAGCCAGGCAGAGAAAATTATTTGCAAAACGCATGCATCCCGGTAGCGTGGACAACTATGCTAACGAGTTGGGGAGCAACTATTATAGACCTACATAAGGCCCATATGCCTAAAAGGCCCAATAAAGGACAGACACTTGACAGCTATACAAGAAGACAACTTGGCTCATGAAGCAAAGGGTCCAGATTGTTCAAACCCTAAAGGTAAACTCCATAAATAAGAGGTAAAGACCACAATTATGGACTAATCTCTCTCTTATTATCATGTTGTCACTGTGCATACACATCATCCCATTGGCTAAAGCCTTATAATTGTGTATGGTGATTCGTTATCCCCAATGTATTTAATCCATAGATACCTAGAGAGAATACAAATCCCATATTGACCTACTAGCCCTAGGCTAGACATCTCTGTCACATAGACAAAACAAACTCAAAACGACGTCGTTTTAGAAATAAATGTATGTAGATAACTTATTAACTTATTTACATTCATTGTAAGAACATTAAAGCCTTTTAAGTAAAAATAGAGTTTACGAAAGATATTTTACCAAATAACTTTTTAGATTGAATTTTAACAAAAAAAATTAAACTAAAAAATGTATATAAAAACAAAAAACTTTTAGCTTTATTTTTTAAACTCTTATTTTTAACTTTGACTTAAAAATAACTTTTACCTAAAAAAAGGTCAAACACACTCAAGATAAAATGGATATTATATAAGCTTTAATGAAAATAAAAAGATAATTTGCGTTTTCATAAAATACAAACCAACACATATGATCAAGAGTTACGATTCACGTGAGACGCGTCTGGTCATGGATTCAAATTTGAACTATTCAATCTTTTTTTTTCTTTCACTTAAGCACATTTAATTCATAAAATGCAAATATAAAATAATATCCATAAAATGCAAATACTTTTTTTTATACATAAAATGCAAATACTAAAATAATAAAATTATATAAAACACAGGAAAAAATATGTTACAAATAAATTGTAGTGATCTATCAAATGGCATGTAGTGAGTAATAGAAAGCGTGAATACAAGTTAGTGTAAATATTCTCACTCTAAAATAGGCTCCTTCATGATTTCTTATTTGCGTTTTACTCTTTAAATCACCTCATCTGGATAATAGAATTGATAGAAAAAAAAAATATAAATCTTAGTTACCTATTTTTATTCTAAGGTCCCAATCGCCACTTGCCATGTGCAGGTGTAACTTTCTCAATATTTATTTATTTAGTTCATATAATTTTTATTTCTTACTTTTTTACATAGTCAGATTATGTTATCTTATAAGAAATTTATTATTTTTAAAAAGTTTGATTTTCAGAAGAAGAAAAATACATTTGATAAGGCCATTTTGCGAAGAAAAAAAATTAAAAATTATAACTATTTTTTTATTTTTAGAATCAAATTTAGAGAACATATAAGAGTTATTTTTATTTTATGTTTAAACTTCTAACTTTCAAAATAAAAAAAATACAAAAAATGCTTGTTTCCATAACTCTTTTATAAAATAGTTTTAAGAGAAAAAAAAAAACACAATCAAACAGACCTTTACATTTTTTTTGTTTTTTTTTTTTGTAAGATTTTTTATTGGATTTAGTTTGTTTTAATTGTAAATCTCACTTATTTTGTTTTTGGCCCAATCACTTGTTCACTGGGCTTGTGTTGTAAATCGCCTTTATGTTTTTCTAGTTGAATCCATAAGTTACTGGGATTTATTTGACACTTGATAGCGTATGCTTCTTTTCTCTATTTTTTTTTAATTTAAAGCTGTTATTTTATGACAAAAATATTTATTTTTTAAGACCTTGAAAACTGGATAGTTTACTTTTAGAATATGCTGACCATTTATTATGACAATCAACTCACGAAACACCGTGATAAATATCAATTATATATTTAATGGCCTTGACTCCAACATTTGTCGTAATGGTGGGCTATTAACCCATTAGTGCCCAACAACTTGAGAGTCTTGTTAAGAAGAACCCATCAACTCACTAAAGACCGTGATAATTTCCACCTATACTTTTTTTTTTAATCAATTTTCACCTTTACTTAATTGGTAAGCATCAATTCTGGGTTTGATTCTTGTTATTGGTTTGCTTGAATGCCTAAGATTAATTCCGGGTGAATTTTTTCATATTTTAATTTAATGTGATCATAAAAAATATCAATTATATATATATATGGGAGAGGTTATATTTACAACCCAAATAGTTTACAAACTCTTACAACCATATCTTAACCGTTGATTTTCGCCAATCAATGGTTGTCATTTATTGTGAATCAATAATTAATTAATAAATTTGATTTGCGAAAATGTTAACCGTTGATTAACAGAAATCAACGATTCAGATATGGTTGTAAGAAGTTGTAAACGAAAATAGATTGTAAATATAACATGCCCTATATATATATATATGGGAAAAATGTTTCTGCAGTTAATGCAGAAAAGTTATCTGCATTTATTTCAAAAATGACGTCATTTTGATATTGAAATGTTAAAAAATTATAAATATAAAGACTATTATAACCCTAAAATAAATTAAAACTATAAAAACACCATGATATCTGCCCCAAAACGACGTCGTATTGGGCTTACTGCAAATAACTTATCTGCAGAAAAAGCGAACCCTATATATATATATATATATATATATACATATATAGTCTTTATATTTATAATTTTTGAAGATTTTAATACCAAAACGACGTCGTTTTGGGAATAAATGCAGATAACTTATCTGCAGTAACTGCAGAAACATTTTTCCCATATATATATATATATACACACACACACATTTTTGCAGCCACTTTAGATAAGGTTGTCTACAACTAACCTTTTTTCACTAAGTACGACCGGTCGTACATTAAAAATGCAATTTCTTGTTATCAAAAAAAAAAAAAAAATGCAATTTCTCTCTCCGCCACGTCAGCCGACAATGTCTGATGAAAGAGAAAAAAAGAACAGCTTTATTGTTATAACTAAGTACGACCGGTCGTACTTAGTAAAAAAGGGTAGCTGTAGACCACTTTATCTAAAGTGGCTGTAGAAATACTTTTCCATATATATATATATATATATATATATATATATATATATATATATTAAAATTATTAGAAATGCACAAGATAAGCACGCTTTAAAGTATTGGAAAAATACTTTTAGATATATATTAAAAGGGAAAAATATTTGTCATCTTAAATAACATAAACTTACGTCATTTTAAGATAAAGATAAACATATAATTTTATTTTTTATTTAAAATTTAAATTAAAAAAAATACCCACTTTCTTTCTTCATTAGAAATGCACAAGATAAGCACGTTTTAAAGTATTGGAAAAATACTTTTAGATATATATTAAAAGGGAAAAATGTTTGTCATTTTAAATAACATAAACTTACGTCATTTTAAGATAAATATAGACATATAATTTTATTTTTTTATTTAAAATTTAAATTAAAAAAATCACCCACTTTCTTTCTTCCATGATTTTCATTTCATGTGTCTATCTATATCCTAAAATGATATAACTTATGTCATTTAAAATGACAAAATCAAACCCATATTAAAAATGTTATCTCTCTTGAATTGATCATAAAATACACATTTTAAAAATAAATGCTTACCACAGAATATAAATACGACATAATTTGAATTGGGTTAGAGTACATTTTAATTTATCAATTAATGTTAACTGTTATAATTTGTTAATTAAATCTTAACGGATACTAATCAATATCAATTAAGTAAAATATTTAAAATATTTCAACGGATTAATTATTTTTAAATAAAATTTTTTATTGACAATTATTAATTTGTAAGGACATGAGCGATAGAAAAGGCTTCAAGAAGTGCCGTTGAGATTAATATAAAACTAAAAAATAAAAATTGAAGAGAGAGAGAGGCGTAGAACCAAGTTACCGTTGGAACTTTGATATAACCGTTGGAAATCAAACTGATATAAATGTTACAAAATGTGTTTCTCTCTCTCAACAAATCCACATATCTCTCTTCTCTCTCAACAAAGTCTCAATCTTTTCACATTTGCGTTATCACATTTTTTTCTCTGTTCATTCATTTCATTTTCATCATCATTCTTTATTGCAATTTTCATTTTAAGCTTTTTGTGTGAAGAACAACGACAATAACAACAATGGCAGAAACAAAAGACACCCACATTGTTGTAATCCCAATAGATGAAGAGCATAACAACAAGCTCTCATCTTCAATGTTGTCCAACAACATCATTGAGGCCATAGAAGATCACCCTCTGACCGAGATCTCAGAGAGTCCTGGTCATCTCTTGCTATTGAAGCTATGGCAGAGAGAAGAGGATCTCTTTGCTAAACGCATTGCCAGAAAAGAGACCAGAATGGACTCTATAAAATCTGAACTCTTCCAACTATGCTCTTTTTTCTTCATCTTTCATGGGTTCTTCTCAACTCTCTTGTTCACTTCTTGGGTCAGTGCCCAACAACAACACCATAGTGTTTGTAAGAAGTGGTGGGTTCCTTCCATGGTGTCCCTCTGCACATCCCTTGTGTTTGTGTTTCTTGTTCAGGTGAAGGTGCATAGGTATTGGAAGGTGTGGGGGCAGTTGCAAAGGGAGAGGAATGATAGCAGGGCTTTGACTAGGTGCATTCAGGAGTTGAGGATGAAAGGGGCAAGCTTTGATTTGTCTAAGGAGCCTCAGAGTGTGAAGAGGATGAAGAGCTCTAGTGTTGAGATCAAATGGAAGCCACTCACTTGGTGTTATCAGAATTTACTCACCATTTGTCTTGTTTGCTTTACAGGTTTGGCTTTTCCTGCTTCCAAGTTTGTTCTTTGCTGCTTGTGATGATGGATTGGGCTCTCTCCATGGAGCATGGATTTGGATGGATGTTGCTGAGGGACTGGTTGTGGTAAAGTTTTCTGTGTTATCAGATCTTGGTCAATTTTTTATTTCATTTTCATTTATGCTATTTGTTCATGGGTTTTGATTTTTTTATGGTTTCTGTCTTTTGCATTTTTAGCCTCTGCCAGGGAATGAAGCATTTGTGGTCCGATAAATTAGGCAAACCTTTTGAAGTCACTATGTTACCAAGTGAACTTCTATAAGAAAAAAGGCCTCAGATTTCAATGCAAACTCCAAATTTTGCAAGGATGGGGCATATGTGACTGGAGATCCTTCAAGAGCGTAATACTGTTAAGAAGCAACACCTCTTGTGTGCTGAGTTCTTGATTTGATTTTGGGAACTCTCTATCTAAGATGATGCTGTTGATCTGCGAGCTGCTCCAGTTTTGACTCGTTGTGTACTGCTATTTGTTGAAATATCTTATAAAATAAAAGCACTACAATTCATTTTTCGAACTTCTACTGTTCAGATAAAAGAAAATTTTGTTTTAGTGTATATGCAAAATACATCTTTTTTCGTTTTCCTTTTACGTGTTCAAGTGGGAGCGAAAATACTTCTGAAATAGCATTGTCTGCAATAACTTCGCATTGTTTCCATAAAAATAAAAATAATTCCATTCAACCTTTTTTTGAAACCCCCTTATGATTTTAAGGGAAAATTTTATTTTTATCCATTCTGGTTTTATGATTTATTATTTGACCCTGTAATTTTTTAAATTTGTCATTTCTACTGTGCTTAAATAATTCATTATTTAATCTCACGTGAATTCAAATTTTCAATTATATTTATTGTGATTAAAGGGTTTTGTTTTTGTAATGTTACATCACGACAAGAGATTATTTTCCTACATACTCATGATATATGTGGGATCCATTAAATAGTAAAGTGAGAGAAAAAATTATGAGTGAGACTCAACTTAAATTGTGTGTGTAGGAAAAATAGTTTATTATCATGTAACATGACAAACTATTTTCCCTTGTACAGAAATATATAAATTATTTATTCAAATTTAAAGTAATTTTAATTTATAATAATATCAACTATAACCTTATAATTTTTATACATATAAATTTATAAAAAAATTCACTTATTTTTATTATGAACATAAAATAAATAAAAATCAAATATTATTTTATTTTATCTATTTTTTACACGATATCATTATAAAATTATCCAAAAAACTAAATATCTTATTTTGATAATACATATTTAATTTATTTTAAATAATATTTTTTATGTCATCAAAAAAATTAATAATAATATTTTTTAATCTTTAATTATATTTTTAAAATAAATAAAAAAATTAAGATAATTTATAAAATAATTTCAAAATAAAAATACTTGAATTAAATAGTAAAGTGAGAAAAAAAATTATAAGTGAGACCCAACTTAGATTGTGTGTGTAGGAAAAATAGTTTATTATCATGTAACATGACAAACTATTTTCCCTTGTACAGAAATATAAATTATTTATTCAAATTTAAAGTAATTTTAATTTATAATAATATCAACTATAACCTTATAATTTTATACATATAAATTTATAGAAAAATTCGCTTATTTTTATTATGAACATAAAATAAATAAAAATCAAATATTATTTTATTTTATCTATTTTTTACGTTATATCATTATAAAATTATCTAAAAAACTAAATATCTTATTTTGATAATACATATTTAATTTATTTTAAATAATATTTTTTATGTCATCAAAAAAATTAATAATAATATTTTTTAACCTCTAATTATATTTTTAAAATAAATAAAAAATTAAGATAATTTATAAAATAATTTCAAAATAAAATACTTGAAATATTTTTTAATTTAATATATCATAATTATATAAAACAAAATTTAGAAAATGTACATATTTTTATATTTATAAGAAGGACTACAAGAAGCCTAAATGATATATTTTTATAACCACAATGAATGTAAATAAAAATTTAAAATCACATAAGATTAAATAATTAATTATTTAAGCACAATAAATCTAAGTGACAAATTTAGAACCACAAGAGTTTAACTGATAAAATCATAAAATTAATGGGTGAAAATGAAGTTTTTCCAAAAGCGTAGCATTGATTAATAACGGTATAAATTCCAAAAACTATATTTCTAAAAAAGTATAACAAGAGTAGATAATTTTATAAATATACGGATTACAAATCATGTTCACCACCAGACTCTCTCAGTAAAGATCTGACAAACAAGTCTCCTTTTTCTTGAGTTCTTTTCTCCCTCGTTTACCAAAACTTAGGCATTTTCAAAACCAAAAATTCGGAAAACACCTGCAAACATCAAATGCAGAAAAGTTAACTGCAGCTTCTCTTATGAGTCTTGTGTTTCCAAAAAAAAGGAATATATATATATATATATATATATATATATATATATATATATATATAGAGGCAGGATCCTTTGACACCGGTGTCAAAGAAAAAGTTTGACACCTCATCTGAGTGCCGTTAGATTAAAAAAAATCAATGGTGTCACATGCTTACAAATCAGAATCGTTGATTTTTTTTAATCTAACGGCTCTTAGATGAGGTGTCAAACTTTTTCTTTGACACCGGTGTCAAAGGATCCTGTCTCATATATATATATATATATATATATATATATGGGTTTTATGTTTATCATTTAACATAATATAACTTCACTTTCCTACACACACATATTTTTCTTTTTCTTTCATCATTCCACTTTCTCTCTCCCTTTTGATGTGAGAGTTGGAAACAACACTTACATCATGTTACATGACACTAATAAAACCCTATATATATATATATATATATATATATATATATATATGTGTGTGTGTGTGTGTACCTTCATCAGCCTGATACTTGTTTTTGTCATCACCAGCATATGCAAGTAAATTGTATTTAGGATTCCACTCAACACTGTTCATGGCAGCCCTACAAGGAATCTGATGCACTGTTCGTCCAGTTTGAACATTTGACTGTTTCATAAAGTAGCAAACTTTTAATATCATCTTTTTATGCATATTACATTTCATAGATGAATAAAACCAATAGGTTTAGCAAAACACGTGTTTGTTAAAAAAGAATTATCAAAATTGTCATGCATAACTTACAATATCAATAAACAAGTCTTCACTTGCAGAAGCAATAAACTCCCCAGTATGGTTGAAACTAATTGTCCGGACAGGCCATCTGAGAAATATAACATGCCCCATTTTTCACAAGAAGCTAAATACAACAAAATATACCTGAAAAGCAAAAGCTGAATACATAGAAACCAAGAAAACTCACTCCAGCTTTGTAAATGTGCGTACACAGAGCATCTCTGAGATATCCCACAGGCTGACAAGGGAATCAGCACTCCCAACAGCAAAATATCTGTCTCAACTCAATAATATGAGGATATCTGTTTCTTATGTTCATATAGACACTAAACTATGGAAACTGAAGATATTCTACTGGGTGAAATGAAGAAAAACAAAATGCACTAATAGATCACTTTTATAATCAGATATATTCAAGTGCAATTACCAAGATTATAAATAACAAACACCAGAAACATACCTTCCTGTTGGGTCAATTGCAATGCAATAACAACCAGCTGTATGAGCCATGAGGGTCTCAAGAGGTCGAAGAGACGGGTAAGACAGTACTTCCACAGTCCCTAAGTAGGTGAGCATGTAATAAAATATAAGATATTTTTCTACTTCTACACCATACAAACCCAATGACACAAAATGTATTGAGTTGAGGTTCATATTTTAGAAGGCACCAAGTCAAAAAATGAACTCACCATTTCCTGTTGTTAGAAAGAACATCTCGCCTGTCATGTTCCAAGCAATCTCATTTACCTAGGAAAAATACAATGGAATCATTGAGTATATAGGAATTAATTTTTCTCAATAGAGTTAAACATCTGCCATTGTGTGAAACATGTACTAGGAAAAATACAATGGAATCATTGAGTATATTGAAATTAATTCTTCTCAATAGAGTTAAATATCTGCCATTGTGTGAAACACGAGTACAAGAAAGGTCACTTAAATAGTTAAGTTCATGTCTGTTTTCAACTGATTATCAGTTATACAACTAAACGGCAAGGCTGTGCAATTTTTGGTATTAAAATTAAGTAATCATGGATGGACAGTTATGACCTCCCGATAAATCAGGCATAAACAGCATCATAATGAACGATGTTGAAGGAGTTGGAACTTCAGGGGAGACAAAAGCCAACATAGAAGAAAACAAGAGCTAGAAACCAGAAAACACAGGTTTTGCAGAAAGTAAGGATAAGTGCTAGGGAGCAGGAGCAGGAGCATTATGGTGGTAATGCCTAATACCTCTACAGTCAAAAGATACTATATACTTATAATTTTCATACCTTTAGGAATCCAAACTTCTCTATCTAGGGTGATTTCTTATAACTAACATTGGTGTGGTTGTAAGTAAAAACATCATTCTCTGTATTTTTAACAGGCATATCAGGTTTCAAGGCATGGAAATTGCAAGTCACTCATATTCAAGCAATATGGAAGTCAAACAGAACAAAAATATGGAAATTCATGGTTAATTCTGGTGTTCTGCCAATTGACTGCAAATTTATATCAAATTATATAGCAATGTGTAATTTAAACTCCAACTAACAAACTCTTTATTGGACTGTAGATTTCAACTCCAATTCCTGAACATAGCTGGGTGGTTTAGAAGAGAAGAAAATGAAACTAACATAAGTTGTTTTAAGGTCAATGCATATTCACATTTTATGTACAATTTATAAGAATGTGGTATAAACTCAAGTTGCTCACAATTTTCAGGGTTCAATTTCATTTCTTAGCCTTAAAAATAAGCCTTAACAAACTGTCAGAAACAGATCAGACAGCAAGAATGAAGTATAAACTAGGTAATACCTCATAATTGAACTTACGCCTATGAATTGGTTTGAACTTCCGAACATCTAGTATTGTTAATTCATCATCCTACGAAAAACAAAATAACAAGGAAATATTTAGTAACTACAAAGCACAATGATTCCAGAACAAGAAACAATTCAAACATATGCAAGATATAGTAGATATTAACGTCTCCAGTCACAACATTTGTACTTCAGAGCTTTAAGCAAATGAAAGGGATTGTGTAACATACCCTATTTCCTACAGCTACATGAGTCCCATCAGGTTTGTAGGTGATGTTGATATTCTCACCACTAAGTTCTGCCTGTTGTGAGCATTTTCCACCTGCAGAAACCAAATATGAGCAGCTTTCCTTCAAACCCCCTCCCTGGCCCTCAAAGAATAATAAGTATTATCTGTTAATATATTTTTAGACTTACTTTAAGCTAAATCAAAAGGAGAAAAATTTAGCCTTTTTTTTTTCCTACTATTCATCAACAAAAGCATTTATCTTACCTATAGAAGTATTTTCAAATTAAGAATCCAATTGTTTGCTTAGTTCATTATCCATATATGGTTAATTGTGCATGGGATTAAGAGAATATAGCCATTAAATGCATTACAAGACAACCAAAATATAAAAGGCTATAAGAATTTTCCTCCCTTCTAATATCACAAAATAAGATAATTTGTAAAACTGGAATCACTTACTTCGAGCATCCCACAAACGAACAGTCTTGTCACCCGATGCAGTTGCAATCAGATCCGCATGTTTGGGGTCCCAGCATAGCTGATCCACACTATCAGTGTGACCCTTCAATTCAATATCTTTGACCTTACCCTATAATAAGCATCCCCCACCCCCCAAAACACACACACACAAAATGGAACAATCAAATTTCTAACCAAAAAATAGTGAGAAGGATAAAATCATTAACAATTACATAAAAGTCGCAGCCAGAAGTGGAAGAGAATCTCTAAGCAAAATGGTACCATAGTTCAGCTTCTCGATACCCCCCCCGCCCCATCTCACTTTTATAATGGGCTAATGTTTCATTTCTGAAAAGATGCAGAAGGAAAAACTCACAGTTGGCCTTAATTTACACTATAGCTTCACCAACAATTTCATTTCTGATCATACATGATTCAAAATGCTTCTTGATTTAATTCAAGAAGTCCTAATTTTCATAGATACATCCTCTCTGATAGTACGGTCAATTTGGATCATGGAAGGCAACCAAAGGGTGGTGATTCTTAGATACCCCTCATCCATTGATCTCAACTGATCCCTAGTCCTTCTCATACTAAGGCTGAACCTCTACATTATATTTTTCTCTTCTTTTGACCAACAGTTGTTAAGGATTAACCCTTGGTTAAGTCACATTCAAAAAAGTATCAACATCACATATGAAATGACATATTTACTGAAAGCCAAATCCTTTAGAGGTCATGTTATCTCATCCACCAAAAGTAAAAAAGAGAAGGACATAACTTAAAATTCATTAAAATTTCTTGCAGAAATTTCAAAGTGGTGAATTCAAACTAGATATCAATACTTAAGGGGTAAACAAACAGCAAACCTACCACATTTCTTTGTAAAACATGAACTTATGTTTTCTCCAATCAAATGACACCATCTCTATCTAGTTAAGCTGTCAGTTTTTACTCTATTAGCCCTAAATCCATATTCAGGTGGGACAAATAAAAATACTAGCCTAAGTCAAAGGCTAATATAAATGGTCTTTGCTCCTGTAATCCATGAAATAAAACAGTAAAATAATTTCCATTTGGAAATGAGTCAATTATAACAGACATAGTGTGATAAAAAAAAATAAAAAATAAGAACATGCTGAGGTATTGTTCTTCTAAGAGCTATTACCAGAAAGAACATTAACAGAAATTTTAGACAAAAAAAAAGACACAAAAATAGAATTTAGGAGTAAGCTTACATGCCCATGTTGCTCAATATGCCAGATTCGAGCAGTTTGATCCACAGAGCCAGAAGCAAGTTTTGTGCCAATGCAATTCCAGGCCACAGAGTGCACCTTTTGGAAAGGAAACAATAAAAAATACCCATTTCAGAATTGAAACAGAAACGTTGAGAGAGGGCTTGTTTTTCGCATAAACTGGGGTATTAAACCACAACAAGCATGAAAAGTTTTGAACTTTGAACTCGTTTACCATCAAAGAGAAAAGAAGAGGGAGAGAGAAAAAGAAAGAGCAAAAGGGTACCTTCTTCTTGTGACCCGAATACTCTCTGCTATGGAGATTCTTAAATTGGATTTGTTCCTCCATGTTGGAAGCAACGAATCTGAGGCACTTTTCTCAGACTTAAAGTAGAAAAATTCCCAGAGACTGTGATCGTTTTTAAGCAGTATCTGATGGTAGTCGAAACGCACAGAAAGTGTTTGTGTTTTTTTACCTTAGAATTATTACAGACTAAACCAATAGAAAAACAATTATGATTCCCGCGATAACAGAGCAAAATAGATATTTCTTATTTTCATTATATTTTTTACTCTGTTTTTATTTCCCTGTATTTTCACATCCTCCATCTAAACTGTTTTGAGGTAGGAAACCGGTGAAACTCGAATAATTCTATTAAAGAAAAAAAATATTTCTTGTATTTTTTTGGCCGAGTTATAATTTCTTAAATTTAAAATGAAATAAAAAATAAATTAATTATTCAAGTCTAAATTGTTATAATTTAATTAAACTCATGTAAATTCTTAAATAATAACGCCAAATATACGATTATTCGCTAGATCAATTATCTCCTTTGATTTTAAGAAACAATTTAATTTGTTAAAAGTGGGGATATAATTGTAAATTCACATTGGAAACAATAAATATAGTTGTTATGGACTGGATCAAGGAATTACACTTCTACTAGTGAATAAGCCTACAAGTAACCCCTTCTATAAATAAAGGGTTAAAGCTTCTCAGGTACACACTTTTAATCTATTTACTCTTGCTGTCAACACTGAGCACACACACTCACGTCTTGACTATAAGCCTATTGTTTGTCCCCAGTGATTGATATATTGGCCTTGAAGCAATTAGATATTTCTCTCATAGATATCTCTGAGCGCATACCTATACGGTAATACTCACAGTCTACCTAGGATCAAACAATGGCGCCGTCTGTGGGGAACAGTAAATTTCGAATCCCACTCCGCGATGACAAACACTTATGGAATAGCAGGCAATACTTAGCCCCATCCTCAGCATCAACCCGCCATCGATCAACTCCAGGATGTAGGCAATCCAGTATTGGTGGAGGTGGAGGTAGGCGAGGCTGGGACTGAAACAATGTTGATCATAAGTCGAGGTGACCCTGCGCCAAATCAGGCACTTCAGCCCCCTGGGATGAACAACTCGGAATTGACAACCATATTGCCAACAAGGCCCTTAACACTATCTTGTTAAGGATATAAGAGATGGAGGACAAATTCCTAGCACGACAAAGACAGGATTCTTAGAGGATGGAAGCCTTGGAAGACAGGCTACGAAACCAGAATATCAACAATCAAGCCGAACAGGAAGGCCAGAACCAAGGAGATAGTAATGGCCGAGGTACTTAGGACGAGACTCATAACGATGATGGAGGTCGGGGTAATGGCCGAGATGCCAACAACGATAACTTTCATGATGACGAAGACGCAAATGATAGCCTGTTCACTGAGAGGCTCATGAACATGGCAATTCTACCGAGGTTCAAGAAGGCCAAAACGCCTCCCTATGACTGGAGTCAAGATCCTGAGGCCCATCTGGAGGCTTTCAAGACGAAGATGCTCTTTAACTGGATAACTAGACCCATCAAGGCCAGAATCTTAGCAACTACTCTGACAGGTCAGGCAATGACATGGATCATGAGGTTGCCCTGGAACTCGATTGATTCATTCGAGAACCTCGCTAGCACATTCCATCTGAACTTTGCTACCAGTAAAGCCCATCCTATGTCGACCTATGCATTAGGTCGAATTCGACAAAAGGAAGGAGAAACGTTGCAAAAGTATCTCGACCGTTTCAAGGAAGCTGCACTCAAAGAGCGAAACTTAACTAAAGCAGTCCATCTGCAACTAATTATCTCGGGACTGGATGGCGAATCCCCTCTGGCCAAGTCAATGATTTGGAGGAATTCAGACGAAGGTCGAACAAATACATTGACGTGGTGAAGATCGAGGCTGAAGCCCAGGTCGCCAAAGCCCAAACAAGAAGAATATGGATAAAGATTGGCAGGGACCAAAAAAGGCAGCTGGATCCCACAATAAAAGACCAGATGAACGCTTCTCAAGAACTAAGTTTGACAGTTATACACCTCTCAATGTTTCCAGATCTCGAATGTGGAGAGAGGTTTCCCAGACCGAGCTGCGTAATGTCGAAAGACATAGGCCCATCAGGAATAAGGGCGGTTTGGACCGACCTAAATATTGTGCCTTTCACGATGCCAATGGCCATATTACGGATGAATGCTGGGACCTTCGAGATGTTATTGAGAAACACATTAGGGAGGAAAAGTTGAAGCAATATCTCATCCGTACTCAAGGAAAGAAAAATAACAAGCGCAAGTAGCGAAGTCGTAGAAGGAGCCCAAACCCAAAAAGGGGACCGGAGTCCCAAAATAACTCAGAATCTTTTGAATTTAAATGATCTTATAATTGTGGAACTATTGTTGCAAATTCAAACTACGTTTACGTTAACGGGACTGCCCAGGTGGCGCTGACATGGCACAAGTTCCGTCAGTATCATTAACAAGACTAGTCCCGTCAATACTAGTGACGTGTTTGGCTGTGTTAGTTTAGAAAAACTTATCCAATTAGCTTTAACTGGACAATTCTGTTGCTCAAAAGTCGTAGAATGGTGCTTTAGCTGGGAGAATGATCAATTTACTCTCATTTTAAAAATTATTTATCAATCTACTATATTTTCAAAATTATGCATCAAGTTATCGCCGTTAAGTACATTTGGTATTTAATCAAACTATTGATATCACCTTGTACTAATGAATTGGCTACAGGGGCCTATGGCCTAGTCTATATTAGGTCAAACTTGGCCTATTACAAATAGTCAAATAAAACAAGTCCAAACTTTTAAAAAAACATATTTAGAAAGCAAGTCATAGGCTCTTTGTACATGTCGGGCCTATAAGCCTACAGGCCTGGCTATATGATATTATTTATTTAAATAAAATAAATAAAAATTATTTTAATAATTCTGAATAATAAAGTAATATTATTTTAGTTATTTTTTTTAATTGCTAAATGTTTAATAGGCTTAAACATGTTAACAGGCCTACGTCATGTTTTTTAAACATGTTAACAAGCCTAAGTCAAGTTTATTATTTTTTAAATAGAGGTCAGACTAGACTTGTAATTTGGGGCCTATACAGACTAACAGGCCAGACCAAATATAAGTTTTTTTTTTAACACATGTCTAATCTATTTAAGACAGAGCTTAGCCTAGTATAATCTATTTACACCCCTATTAATGAAGATTCGTTAAATTTATTTGAATTTCCTTGGTCATCAAATTACTATTCGTAAGTATCAAATTGAATACTGTATTTAATAGTTAGAACCAATACACCAACTACCGTTACCATACCTAGTAGGTTTGTTTATGTTTTAAATGAGGCAATATTGTTATTTATATTACCCTAGGCAGTGGTGAAAAGCCTTGGGGAAAACGAGGTAATGGTGATTTTGGACAACCACATGACCCAGCCGAGGTGCTGCTGCAGTAACACTGACGGAAATGGGTTCTTTGGGGACCAGTATTTTGATCCAGATCTCTGGATTATGGGACTTACCAAGATGACCACCATTTTCAATGGGGTCACTAATGTGGTAGGCATGAGCTTGAGAAATGAGCTACGAGGTCCCAAACAAAATCTTAATGATTGGTAGAGGTAAATTGTTTTTGGGTTAGGCCTAGCTCAATTTATCATCCACGTTTTAATACATGAATGATAAATTATTTTCAAGCAAAGTCACACTACTATTGTATTTTGATACGTGGAATGAAAAATATAGTTAAGCATGGAATGAAGTAAAGTTACTTTTTGAGTAGGAAAGGGAAGTGGTAAGGAGATTAATTAATAATATATTGGTTTCATCCTATATTTTCATTGTTAAATATCTAAATAATAATAGGGTAATATCTCTCTCTTGTAACTTGAGAAATTTTATTTTCCTTGCAGAGACAAATTTACGTGGAATCTCTTGTAAAGAAAAAAAGTATTTTTTCGATGAGTGTGCTGGAGAAATTTTGTCTCTCTTATTTCACAAGAGACATATTACCCATAATGATATAGCAGATTTATTCTAATATTCTCAATTCCATTTTATTTCTTCCATTGAAAGCCTCAAACCAAACATGGCAAATTGGCAATAATAATTATATGGGAAAAGTGTTTGTCCTCTTTTAAATGACAGATTTTATATCCTTTCACTTTCACAAAGAGGTGGGACTCACAACTTTATATTTTTCTGTTCACTCTCTGTTCTCCTTTATCTATCTCTTTCTCTCACTTAAAATGACACAACTTTATATCCTTTAAAATGATATACATTTTTCTCTAATTATATTGTTATGATCAATAGGTACATGTAAAAAGGAGCAAAAGCCGAGCATGCTGCAAACCCAAATGTTCTTGTCATTTCTCTCGGGTCTAAATTTCGACACAAACTTAGCATTCCTTGGGAACTAGCCAGTGAAACTGAGCTTCAATGGGAAACTAGTATTCGAGGTGCATTGGTATAGTTTCAGTGACGGTGAAGCATGAAAATCAGGGAATCCAAACCAAATGTGTGGCCAAGTTACATGGAACATGATGACACAGTCATGGTTCTAATTGGACCAAGGATGGCCATTGTTTGTTAGTGAGTTTGGGGTGGACTTGAGAGGTACCAATGTAAACGACAACAGGTACCTCAGTTGCTTCATGGCAATGGCAGCTGAGCTTGACTTTGATTGGGCCTTATGGACACTTGTTGGCAGTTATTACATTAGACAAGGTGTTATTGGAATGATCGAGTATTATGGTCTTCTCAATTCGGACTGGACCCAGCTTAGGAATACAAGTTTCTTACAAAGGATCTATCACATTCAACTTCCTTTTCGAGGTATATCGATGGTAGTTAAAATCTTAATTTATCATTATATTTTTATATTTTTGTGATTTTTTTTATCAAAATATTTTTATCAATATTTCAAGTGCTTTTACATTTTTATATTACGATTTTTATCCTGATTTTATGTTTTTATGTAAAATTTCATTTTTAACCAGCTTGGGTATAACCAAAAAATAAAAAAAAGAAAAGCTTTGGTATATTTTGTTATACCGTATGTTACTGTTTATAATGATTGATTCATCCTGTATAGGTTGGATTAAATTGAAGTAATTCTTAGACAAGGATTAAAGTATGTTAAGTAAATTTTATATGGGTTTTATTAATCTCCTTTTGCATAAGATGGGTATCTTATGTTGTAGAGAGAAACTGGGTGGGTCCCACAATTACAAGAAAAAAGAAAAAGAAAAAAAAAGTGAGGTGCGAAAATCGAAGTGAGAGAAAATGAGATAAGTTACCCCATGTAAAAGGAGAATAATATTTCCCATTTTATATATCCTAGTCCTTGTTGTAATTGTATTCCTCATGACATGACATGCAGGGACAGGCTTATGAGAAGCCAAACCATATAGGTTGGGTATAACCATGTATTTGTAATAATTGCATATGGACAGGTAATTCTCTGATTCATATTTCACAGTTCACACGGTTGGTTGAGAGGTACACTTTTAAGTACTTTGTATCTACATCAGTCATCTTAAGTCTCATATCATAAATTAAGAAACTGCGGTACTTTATTTGTAACATGCAAGCATAGTTTCATTTGGTTTGCCTTGGTAATGCTAATATCTACTGTAGCTCATGATATCATAATTTACATCTTACCAGCTGCACAAGAAAACTAAATGCCCTCAATTCTGTCAATGCTACGATAAAATATTATTAGTCTATTATAGACATCCCTTGCTTCTGCCCTGTGGTTGGGCTTCAAAAACTGATACACAGCATGTTGCCACAGGTGACCCGAAGCATCGACACACAACATGGCCACTTAAGTCCACAGGAACAGAAGGCAGTAGATGCAAACGTAAAAGCAAGGTAAGTTTCTAGTTTTCTCTCATGTGTAGTACTATTCTGCATTCTTATATTCCTTTTAAATTGCAGTGAGTATCCACTGTCAATAGTTTTGGCGGGAGTTAGAGATGGATCATGGGATATGATGAGGGAATTTGATGATAACATCCCTTCTCGAGCATTTGACAATTTCTAGGTTTTGTGTAACTCCCTTAGCCTTTTTTACTTGCCATATTGAAATCTTCTTATTATGCTGAAATGCTATGTTTTTATTTGTGGCCGGATGTAGTTTGTGAATTTAAACAACAAAAATGCCATATTGAAGTTACTCATTTACAAAAATGCTATATTTTTATTTGTTGTAATTGTATTCCTCAACTCTCCTTTAAACAACTTCCTTTCTCCCTAAACTTTCTTCTACAAAAAAAAAAAAAAAAAAAAAAAAGCCAACAAAGTTTGACAACCATCAATAATGAACAGATGCATTTGACAACAAATTAGACTGTAGGCTCTTTCCCTCTGGCTCTTGAAGGAACTTCTTATCTTCTATGTAAGACTGTATTTCCACAACAGTCCTTGTCAATTCTGGTACTTGCCGTGATTTCAGCTGAACTAAAAAGTTCTCATAGATGACTTTCAGCATCTTTAAGAATTGAGATTTATATCTTCTATAGAGAGCAAATCCAGCCATCTGAAAAAGTAAGAATTTGTTAACCTTAGAAGATGTATATAACAAAGCACTTCAACATTCTAAATTACTTACTTGCAAGAATGCATTGAGCGAAACAGCTGTATATTGATTGGCTGGGAGAGCATTCAAGAACCTTGCAAGCCATGCCCAACCTTCTTGCATGCCATGCAAATTTTGAACGTTTGGAATTTCAGTCTGTTAAAGGAAGCATGGAAAACAGATCAAATGAGATCAGTGAGATGAGAAACAGTTGGTCCATGTAAATTTGTTAAAAATTTGAGACAATCATGACAGACCTGAACCAGTGCACCATACACCTTCATGTATGATTCTAACCGCTCTAAATAATTTTTTGTACTCTCCATCTTTCCATCATCTTCTCGATAACCAATACTTCTGAAGTATGCCTCTTCTGATTGAAAGGTAGCCTGACGGGGGAAAATTAAGAAACCAGATTCAATAATGTAAGTACCCCATGTCTATAAAATTATATTTAAAGAACACATCCGCGAGCATATATTATCAGAATAAACAATTATCCTCCATCCATGAGTAATATTATATATTGAGTTAAAATATTCAAGGCAGTGAAGAATTAGCACTAGTAAGAACTAAACAAAAATTTCTCTTATATATCTATCCTCATCCAATATTGCAAAATTATGCTTTTTGCAGTAATTTATCTTTCTCTGTAGAAATGTCATTGTTATATCAAAAAGTTGGATAGCTAATGTTTACGTTATAGCAGTTAAAGCAAAATCTTATTGCTTCTCTCAGAGATAAAATGGACTCAAACCTCTTATTTAGGCAAAATGTGGTATAAAAAGGACGAATAAACGAATTTTAGGTAGCAAAAGTGTTTCTTCCTTCAAATTGAGTTTAAAGAAAGTTAAAATATATTAACTGTCTCCTCAACAAATCAACTATACCACAATCTATTTAACATGAGGCTAGGAAACTAGACAAAAAGAATAAATGGCTCAGCAATGTTCTCATGTTATATCAAATTACTTTTTTGTAAACCATGTGCTTTGGGACGGTGTATAGGCAGGCCCTGTGAAACTCAGCCAGCAAAACATCCATTGCCTGTGGGACCTGCCTTGCAAATGAAAAATAATTAAAACCAAAAGCAAATAAATTATTATTATTCCTTGAAGGCTTGATTCTATACCATCCTCCTAACTAATCCTAAAGGCTAGAAATTAAACTTGTACCTGAGATGTAACGAGAACAATGACATAGGCACTTGCAAAGGGAGCATTACCAGGGATTCCACAGCATGAAACAACCTGTGAAGTGCGTTGTCACTTGTCACAAACAAATTCATTTACTAACAAACATAGACGGTAACAAATTCTACCATATCTCACTAGTTTTTGTTCCTCGTTTTGAATATTTTTAGCCAATTTCAGCCAAATGTTTTTTGATCACAAATATTTCCAAATACCTCTTTTAAGGATTTTAAAATAAAAAGGTTTTATACAGACTAGTCATAATTTAGAGCTTTAACATTTTAATTGCTGTATACTTTTTCCTTTTATTTGCTATCTTCCATAATCCATATACCACTAACGCAAAAAATAAACAAATAAACCCAATTATAAGATTAGTCTATTGTTTGTCATATGATCTTTGTTCTAGTCCAATAAAGCAGAAAGAAACTATAACAAGAGAATGGCTAACCTTTTTAGCAAATATCTCAATGCCAATTGATTGAGGACATCGAGGATCATTCAAAAGTTTAATGAGATCACTTGCTTTTGACCTACATAATGTTCAAAAGAGTAAATAGACGTGCAAAACTAATACCCTGTTTAAAGGATTTGGATTGCCTTTATTTGGAATTAAAGAAGTGCAAGAATGATAAATTGATAATCAGCATTATGCATAGTGAAATTAAAATATTCACTTCACCTAACACTGTCTCTTGTGCCCCTTATTTGCCTTATCAACCGCGAAATATGACTCTCATGGCGGGTATAATCCTGAACAGATGTTGACACAAAGAAACGAGTTATCTCATCAAAATCAAGAGTGTGCTAATGGGCAAGTTAGTCTTCAAAATGATGAAGGGCAGAAGCAGATTTCTTGTGATATAAAACAGTTCTGCAGAAATTTCATGCCTCAGACATGTAGGTGCTAATAAAAACCATGAAAAATATACATTATATTATCTAGAACAACATTCAATTAAAAAATATGATAACAAACGAAAGGCAAAATCAACAAATAATTCGTATTGCTTATTGCATGTAGTATAATAAACTAACAGCCTTGAGATAAACAGATGCAATATCTAATTATTATTACCATGTTAGAACTTGATCTTATCACTTGGTTTCTCTCAGATAGCTCTTTCAATTTCTGTAGTCTCCCATGCTCTAGATTTGAAGCACTTGCAGCAGCTCGGTATACATTACCTAAAGATTGTGTAGGCCAGTTGAAATCTCAGATGATAAAACAATATAAAAACTAAATACTAATACATAGATCTAGACATGAAATGCAAGGGAATACCCACATGCACTATAAATTAACACCAATTGCACCAAAGCCTTACAACGTTAGAAGGGGTTCCATATTTCAATGGTTTTTTTACAGCAAAGATTTTAAATAAATAAAGTGTATGAAGGAAACTTTAGTAGTTAACAATGTGGTGACTAATTATAAAATATAAGATTCAAATGTCTTAAATGACACCAAATTTGTTGCTTATGCAGATAGCTTCATCAAATAAATGTTGATGACACAGGGAAGAAGTAAACTAATTTCACTAGCATAGAAATATAGGGGAAAAAAACAATTTTCCAACTAAATAATAGTCAAATAAAAAAGAGAAGGCAAAGCGTTCCTGAATATCAGATGTGGGAAAACAGGTAAACTTCAACATTGGCTAGTAAATTCTAAATGTGAAAGAATATGAAAAAAAAGAAAACCAATACCAGATTCCTTGGTTTTAACATTTGATAGGCTTGATGCAGTATCTGAATTGACACTTTTGGAATTTTCAGTAACATTCCTTTCTATAGCTTCCTTTTCTGCTCTTCTTTCAGCTTCTGCTGCTGCTCTTTTTTCAGCTTCCAATGCAGCTTGTTTTGCTTCCTCTGCTCTAAGTTTGGCCTGCACCCACAAAATTGAAAAATAATGAATGAAAGAGCATTTGCGCTAAAGCTTCTATAAAGAAAATTATGTACTAAAAAAAAATTGGCAAGGTAAGTGTCAACTAACAAGATACAAATAGTGGTGGACACATGAATATCTGTGAAAATATTACCAAGTCATAGGCTAGTAGCAGGTCAAGCAATGTACAATCCAAACCAATGCAACACTAAATTTATTTGTGGCAGTTTAGGACTCTCAGAACATCATTGTAACAAAAAATAAGTAAATAAAAATAAAGAAATAGTAAACCAATAGACTTCATATAAAAAACATGCATTTGCAATTGTAAACAGGTGATAATTAACCTCATTAAGCATCGGCAGCTTCAACTCAAATGAAATTTGAAACATATATATTTTGCCAAATAATACAATCAACTAAAAGATAAAGTTACGGTACCTCTGCTTCAGCTTTAGCCTTTTCTTGCTGCTGCTTTTCCTCTTGCAAAGCAGCCTTTCTCTTGGCATCTTCAGAAGCTGCATCACTTCTTATTTTCCTTTCTTCTATTTGTGATTTGAGTTCACGGTCACGTTGAACAGCTGTCAAGTGATTATCAAGTGCTTCTGCACTGCAAAAATTGGGAGATAAACATCAGTTTCTTCATTTTCAACTAGTTCAAATATAGCAACTAATAACTATCTCACTAGAGAATAAACGAAAAGGAGAAAAATGTTTTGGGGGTGGAGAACAAATAGAAAACATACTATGCATGTCAAATTTAGTTATGAAAATGAGAAATAGCATCAATATAAAAGCACAATCAAGTTCAATATTCATAAAAATGTATTCATCAAATAAAATCAGATTCCACAGCTTTAAATTAGTGTGCATCCTGACGGTTTGTCTTCCTCCTATAAAAAAAATTAAACATGTATCCTTTCAACAGTATTTTTGTGAAACATATCATGCTCCAGCGCAAACAAATGGTAAAAATAATAATATTAATACTTAATGGATATCCACAAATGGCATGACACATTAACAAAATCATTTCATGCAAATAATCCATAGTTCAAAGCTCTCATAAAACACATTGATAACGTGAACATAATACTAGAGTAGCCTGCCTTGTCCATAACAATTCATAGTCATTGCTTATATTAAAGTCAGACAAGACAGATATGTGAAGGAAAGAATCATATTGGCTAGAAAAGTAAAAAAGGGGTGAGGGGGGACCGTGACATCTTACATCCAGCGCTGATATTGAGTGTCAAAATTTTTATCCGATTCCTGCCTTGTTTCTTTATATTTCTCAACTTGAAGAAGGGCAGAAGTAGAATTCTGACTTTCATTCACAAGAGCTGTCTCCAATGCTGAGATCTTATTCCTAATTTCATCCTGTCAATCCAGAAGATCAGAAACAAGTCTACTATACAGCGTATAACAAAACCATGAGTTTGTTTTGCAATTTGCTATGCATTATATGGTGATCAAGAATGCCCAGTTAGGTAACTAACAAGTGCATTGATATCAACACGATCACTCACCTTAACCCTGACCTGATGTTCATGGGTCAACTCAAACAAGGCACCTTCTACCTCTCCCACATCATCCATCAGTTGCATTTCAAAACCAGAGGCATCGTCAGAATCATCATCACTGTCACTGAAACACCCGAGGAAGTGCAAATGTTACTCTCAAAACACCCAATGGAGAAAAATTCAACTGAATCAACAAACAATATGAATATAGGGTTCAAAATTGACATTTTTTATTATTCAAAATTGGTGAATAAAGCTAGGGTTTAAGAAATAGACACCTCAGATAAAGTTCATCACAAGTAATACGTTTGCCAGCAACAACTAAAGATCTGTCATCATCATCATCGTCGTCCTCACTCTCAGTGTCCTCCATCTCATACTCGTAGGCATGCAGTACAAAGGATTTCGCAATTTCATTCCCACTAGACAAGTCCCAAACATTGAATTGATTTATTTAATCGACAGCAACATGTGCATGGAGAAATAAAAGAAAGAATTAAAGTACCTGGATATTGTTTTATCCAAAGGCCAGGGTTTGGTAGAAGAAGTAGCGAGCTTGATCTCCAAAGCATCAAGCTCCGAAACAAGAGCATCAAAGCTCCAATCAGGTTCAGGGTCAAAAGCAATGCCATCAACTCTTTGCGATAAAGGAAGACCCAATTTCAAAGCTCCCCTGCAAATAACATAATGAATTAAAATTCATCTCCCTCGATACGAATCAAAACCAGGAAGCAAAAAAATAAATAAAAAAATCTTACATTTGCGATAACCGAAACGACTTTCCGGCAACAAGAGATTTGGTTCGAGACAGCGAAGAAAACAAAGCAGAGTTGCCTGGATAGGTAGTACGTTTGTTAATCAATAGGGAAAACGACAACTATGATCGGAGAGAGAGAGAGAGGAGAGTGGGGATTGAACGATGCTGATGGAGGCTGAAAAAGCAAAAACATTATAAACAAAATTAAATAGAAGGGTTAGTTTCATAAATTAACCTTGCCAGCAATACGTTACCGTTAACCAAATATCTATGCACTTTGTTTTTCTTCTTTAACCTAACAAATTTTCTTACCCGCACATGTTCAAGGTAAGTACCATCATTCAGAAATTAAAATAAATATAACACACATATTGATGTAGGAGTGACATGAGAAATAATTTCTTCAACGACATGAGAAAATATTTCCCCAATAACTATATATATATATATATATATATATATATATATATATAAAGTTAAGCCATTTAAAAAATTTCCTTTAAAATAAATTTTGAATTCGAAATTTTAAAATAAATTAAAAGGAAAAATAGTTCATCCTTAATTGCCAGGGAAACATTTGTATTAATATTGCATTGCTTTCTTAAATTTGATTTTAAATTTTGAATTTTAAACTTGGGTGGAAAAAGATTTGAATAATTGTGGTAACAGATAACTCATTTAATGTCTTACTACTTTCTACATTTGAATTGTTAAATTATTATCTCACTACTTTCTTAAAATTTGATTTTAAGTTTTGAATTATAAACTTGATATAAGTGGGAAAAGATTTGAACAATTATGGTGGCAGACAGCTCATTCAATGTTCCACTACTTTTTACATTGGAATTGTTAAATGTGTATATTATTTCAATCTGTATTTAATTTAAAAAAAATTCTTTAATTACGTGTATAAATAGGATCATGCATGGCAGATTTTTGCTCCATTTTTTTCTTTTGTTGCTTCAGTAGTAATATCCCAATGCTTTTTTAAATTTCGAATTTTAAACTTGATATAAGTAGGAAAGAGTTCAAAATTACTTGGTGGCAAACATTTGTATTAATATCTCACTTTTTTTAAAATTTCGAATTTTAAACTTGATATAGGTGGGAAAAGAGTTACATATTTTTTTTGTGCCAGACAACTGTATTAATATTCCACTGCTTTCTACATGGGAATTGTTAACCCTATTATTGCTGCATTAAAAAAACATTATTATGTTAAAAATAATAATAAATATTTTGTAAAAAAATAAAGTTATTTCACATATAAATAGAATGTGTTACTAGGTCTTTTCATTTGGTTATTAGCTTCTGTGCACACATTTCTTCTCTTCTCTTCTTTATCTATTTATCTTCTTCATCTTCTCAAGCTGTTCTTCTATTAAATGAACATGTGATATTTTTCGTTTTTTTTTTGCAGCTCTGTTGTAGAGCAAAACTGATGGAATGATTTGGAATCACTAAGATATGTACTTCTGTAATTCCTCAGAAGAAAGTATGACATTCTTCTCTATCTACTTTTCTTCTACAAGTATTTTCTCTATAATTCTTATTATTTATATTTGCTGTAGCAGTTGAGAACGAAATATTCTTGCCCTCATGCGGACAAGGTTAAAGAGTTCCTAATGGTATTGGATTTAACATTTTGATGAACTGACACTAAAATTTTGATCCATTATTTCTATCTTTCTTATATACGAATTATTTTAAATGCAGGACCCACGTAAATTTGTTGTAGCTGCTTTTGCCGCACCTGCTGCAGATTCTAGTGCTTCCCTGCTGCTGTCGCGCCAAGGAAGAGGAAAAGAAAGGAGCCCACTGAAGAATTTGACGATGACATAGGTTTCAGTTTGTTTGACTAATTTATGTTTGGTTTTCTTCGAGTTTGGTTTAAGTGTATTTTGATTTTGCTTTGTTATCATTCTCGGTGTTATTTTAAGTTTGCTGTTGTTTTCATATTGCATTGTAAAATCATGTCACAAACAAAAATTATTGGGAAGGTAGGAGAGAGTTCAACATTATTTAGTGGCACACATTTGTATTAATATTCCACTATTTTTTAAAATTTTGAATTTTAAACTTTATGTAAGTGGGAAAGAGTTCAAAATTATTTGGTGGTAAACATCTGTATTAATATCTCACTGTTTTTTTAAATTTTGAATTTTAAACTTGATATAGGTGGCAGAAGAGTTTAACATTTTTTGGTGGCAGATAGCTATATTAATATCCCACTACTTTCTACATGAGAATCTATTAATGCTGCATAATCTTAAAAAAATAATAAATATTTTGTAAAAAAACAAAATTATTTCGTGTATACTATTAAGGGGAGGGTTATACTTACCACCAGTAAGTTTATCACCTTTACAACCAATCTAATTATTGTTAGATTAGAATTAAATCTAACGGCTCATAATTATCCATTATAATCTTAATTTTTCTCTCACATTCCCTTCCTGTCTCTCTCTAGGTTTCCATCCTTTCTTCATCCTTACAGTCTCTCTCTCACTAGCACTCTATCGAAATTCAAGATTTGTTCCCATTTGTTAACATATTTCATGAATCCGTTTATGATACCGGTGGGAGGGTATTATGAATTCGTTTTTTTATTATGAATTATTAGTGCCATTATACAATTCATTATTTGTCGCCCTAAACCTCATACCAACGACGTTGACAACGATTTTCCTTTGAAGAAACTCATGGCTGCCAAGGAGAATTATCAATTAGCACACAAAATATATTGTATTATGAATAATTAATGAATAGTGAATAATGAATAGTATTTGAGAGAGAATTATCAATCAACATATACATATAACGGTTCGGGATGAATAATGAATTGTAGTAGAGAGGTGATTCTCAAACCTATAAAGAGAGACAGAGAGGGGAGGAAACCTAGAGAGAGACAGAGAGGGAATGTGAGAGAAAAAAATTAGAATTATATGGGATAATCATGAACCGTTAGATTTACTTCTAATCTAACGGTGATTAAATTGGTTGTAAAGGTAGTAAACTTATCTGGTGGTAAGTATATCCCTCCCCTACTATTAAAGCATTCAAAATACTAAGAGTTTTCATATTTGCTCTCCATATTGAGAAACACTTTCATTACACACAAAGATGGAAATAAATATAACCGTTGGATCCACAGTCGATCTAACGGTGAAATTGATTGGTAGTGACATTGGTAGTAACACTAATTGGTTGTTACAATATCCTATCCCAAAATCATATTATGTTGAAAATAGAGACGAAAAAATTTTCCGTCAAAACTAGAAACGAAATTAGAGACGAAACAAGATTTTGTTATAACTACTGACATAATATTTTTAGGAAAAAAAAAATTCAATCAAAATTCTTGATAGAATCTAAATTCCGTCGAAACTTTCGACAGAAACATTTCCGTCAAACTTTTCAACGAAAAATAATTCTGTCGAAAATTTTGACAAAACACATTTCCTTAAAAAAATTCGACAGAAAATAATTTCGTCAATTTTTTTTATGGAAAATATATCCGTCAAAATTTTTGACGAAAAATATTTCCATTAAAATTTTCAGCAGGACGCATTTACAACGACAATTTTGACGAAAAATATTTCTGTAAAAAATTCCAACAATTTTTTTTTTGTTAAAATTCTTTACGGAATCTAAATTCTCTCGAATCATTTCCCTAAAAAATTTTGTCAATAAAACATAGCTGTCGATTTTTTTGATGAAAAATAAAACATATATGTCGATTCTTTACGGAATTGTGTTGTTTATGCATATCTGGTGTGAAATGAAAAGCTTTGTTTGTATGTTTCTCAATTGTATGCTGCAAGAACTTTTTTGTGTTGCAATGTATTTGTTACTTGAGGACAAGCAACATCATAAGTTTGTGGGTGTAATAACTCTTTATCAGAAGACTTGTTCACTGCTATTTATGTCTCATTTCTAGTGTGTTTTGATTTAAATTGGGCTGTGAGACTTGTATTTGGTTGTTATTGCAGAATGTTGAAAACCCAAAAGGCCAAGTCCAAAAGAAGCCAATACAGAGAGCATGGCATACAAAAATCAGCCCACGTCAGTGACCCAATGCAAGGGTAGAAACGTAAATGAAAATCAAGGTTGAGTAAAAGAAAGAGCAGCGATCATAATAAACTAAATTCACTCCAAATCAAGCTCAACCAAACCCTAGCCATTCTTAATCTTTGGTTTATTGAGTCACCCAACCTCACTTGTCTCTGAGTGTGTAAAAGCATTGAGCCAAAAAACCTTTTGGTGCGTTGATTCTCACCCATATAGATCAACCAACCAACCACATCATTGAAAAAAAATAGAAAAGGAGAAAAATACAGAATCTTTAGCTAGAGGTTGTTATGCGATTACGGGTTGTTGCAAGGAGTGGGCGTGGAAAGAGAAGATGCTTGAACAAGGGATGATCAAAGCGTGAGAGTGAGTACACGTGACTGTTGATGCAAGGGTCATGAGGTTTTCACATGCAAAAGATGCGGATATAAAATAAGGTAGAGCATCACTGTATGGAGCTTCTTCTTCCTCTTTTTCATTCTTGTTGAGAACTTTTCTTGAGAAGTCAGATTTTAATTTTAATTTTATTTTTTGGGTACTATAGGAGAGTTATTCCTTTGGTTGTAGCTTTTGCATTGTTGATTTTTATTTTTTAGTTGTAATTTCTTTTTGTTTTTTTACTGTTTTGAGCTCCATTCTTATGGATAGGAGCTAAACCTATTTTTCTAAATATTTTCACCAACTCAGTTTCTATCTGATTAAGAATTTTAATCATCTTTTTGTTTTATATTTTTTTCTATAAAAAATCTTTTTACATAAAAAATGAATAAAACAGTACTTAAATTGATTTCCTAGTATTTTTCATCCTTTAGAATAATTGATTCAAGAAATTAATTCAGAAAGTCTAAAAAAAAAAGAAAACAGAAAACAGTAGCGTAGTCACTGCTATTTCAGAGCAGTTTTGTGTTATGTTATTTTTACTGTTACTATCTTTTTATTAATTTAGTCTTAAGCAATTGCACTTTGTGCTTTTGAACTTTTCGCCAAAAGATCCTTGTGGGAACGATATTGGGGTCTTAAATACGCCCTATATTACTTGTTGTCGCATATACTTGCGCGCTACTTGCATAAACCTTAGCAAGGCCAACATTGGACATTTTTTTCTATTAAAAAAAAGGAAACTAAAAAAACCTAAAGACAAAAAATAAAGGAAATAATAAGATTCCATTGTCCGACTTTCTCGTATCAGTTGCTAATACTTCGCATGATTTGTTATAAATACAGTAAAATTTATTTGAAATCAATTTGTAATAATAAATTCAAACTAAAACCTTTTTATTACTATAATAATAGAAAAAAATAAAATGATAAGAATATGAAAATTGACTTTTCTTTTAAATAGAAAAATAACAGCATTTAGTTTAGATTATTTAGGGTATATAAATTTCAAATTAATCCAATATCAGTTAAAAAAGGGTAATTTAACAGTGACGATTTGTTAACCCCGCGTATTTTATTTTGTTTCATTTTAGCCATGATGGTTTGATGATCCAAAATTTATCTAAAAAAACATAATAATAAAACTTGTAACATTAAGATTTTCATCAAAGGGTTAATTTAACCGTGACGGTTTGTTAATCCTGCATATTTTATGTTGGTTCCTTTTAGCCGTGGCGGCTTGGTAATTCAAAATTTAATGTAAAATTTATAATAATAAAAATAAAATTATTAAAATAAATATAAATCATCAAAGCCAAAACTTTCCAATTGATTTTCTTTTAATTTTTTTTTTAAAATTAAATTCAATCAACACACAAATATTTTTTTACAGAACGACGTAGCTTTGAGTTCCTTATTATATACATCGGAACGGGACCCACCCCGTCAAGCACAAAAATTAGTTTTCTTTTCTTTAATCAATTTTATTTAATTCTTGAGGGTGAAATAAAATATTAAAATCTTATCATTAATTTACTCAATTAATATAAGGTAACCGTTTTTTTTAAATGGACGGTGTAAGGTGCTAACACATTTCCTACTCGTAATGGACTCCTGAATCAATTTTCTATTCGAAAGACCAGTTTTCTCAAACAAAAAGGTTTTTCCAATATTTTTCTAAATAAATCTTATTGGCAACTCCATTATTTTTAACATTCAATCTCTTTCGCCAGGTCGCGATCCGGCTGCGACATATATATAGCAAGGTTCTTTATGCTTCGCCCTTGTATATATATACATACACACTAGTAGTACGCATCGATGGATGGCTTAATTACAGTGTAAAATAGCACATTGTAAAATATAGTAAACAGAACCAGACCAACAGCTAAAGATGAAAGAAACGATTCTGAAAATCCTAGCTTTTCAGTGTCACTGGCTTGCTCTTTGGTAAGCTTCACGTCAGAAACTGCATAAAGATTGAACGAAAAATGTTTAGGTCAAGATTCATTGCTAGTGAGCAACCTTAATGCCATAATTGTAAACATAGGCATGATTCATAATATTTATTAAATAAATTCAATAAAGGTTCTTTACAGTTAAAAATCAAATGGATGATATGAGATTTACTCCTTAAAAGAAATTATTAAATATTGTATAGACTGAATAATTAAAATTACAAACTGGCTTATTAAAGCCTATAAATTTTAGGGGTTTATAAATCTTATCTTACTGCACCAAAAAATTTTTTGCAGCTAAGATAATAAACATGTGGGGACTACAAATTTTTTTTCTCTACTTCGTTTCAGTTTCTTTCTCTTTTTTATTGTCTCAGCCGTAAAAAAAAAAAAAAAAATTGGTGCATCAATACAAGATTTATAAACTCCTAAATTTTATGGGCAATACTTTTCTCGTTTAATAATAAGAAATATGGAGCCCATAAGCTGAAAAAAGAAAATGAAGGTGTGTGTTTCTGTACAACTGTGACCTAAGATTGTTATCTCCTCAAACAAAGTTCTCAAATTTTATTTCTTAATCTATCACTTTTATAAATCTATATATTTTTATTATTCATTTGATAACTTTTATTACTTAGTCAGTAACATTTAATATAAAAGTAATGATTTTAAAAAATTAATACCATATTATATTAATCTCTCAAAATTGAAAAACACTACAAGAATTAACAATTTTAGTGATGTAAGCAAGAGAAAGAAAGGGTACCCGTGAGTTTTGGAGAGGATGAAACTCGTTTATTGGAGAGAGATTGGAATTGTTGGTCAAGCTTTTTAAGGGCTTCTCTGGCCTCATCTGGGTCTATCTCATATTGCTGTGAATCTTCCTTCACTGCATGAACTATGCAATAAGAAGATGAAGAATAATAAGGGTTTGTGCTTAGCTTCCTCTTCTTGAATATTATGCCTTGTTCACTACTATGTACTAGTAATTGTCTAGAAAATGATGCAAAGAATGGTGGTGGATGCTTATAGAAGCAAAGAAGCTGCATTGAGAAAAGCAAGTTTAGGCTAAAACACAAATGTTCAGTGTTCACTCACCTAAATGTCTAAAACACAACACAAGCCATGGAATTGAAGATAATGTTATGCCTTTATATTATTATTTTTATTTTGATAAATAATAATGTTATTCAGTGTGACAGCGACATTCTTTGATATTTTAATATCAGCGTTTGGTAACGCGTGCTGGTGTAAACAGGAATACGGGCAGAAATGGAATACAGTTAGATGGTATTCTTTTTTCTTTTTTTCTTTTTAAATATCGGGAATTAAAGCAACTAAGGCACACTACAGAGTTAGAGGGTATTCTGGTTATAAAAGATACAGATAAGAAAATGAGACAACTTTAAATTCTAAATTTGAAATTGCATGTTTAAGTTAGCTTGTACGAAAAATATGATGTAAAAATTTAATTTATAAGTTTAAATTTTTAGTTTTAGTTAATGTAAAATATAAAATTTGAGCTCAACTTGTTTTGCTCATTTATAATTTTATTTTTTACTTCTTCTTTTTTTAGTACAGATTATTTCCTTCTTTTTATCAAAACTATTGTTCAAGTATTTTTAAGTTTGTTAATTTGATATTTAATAGACATTTTTATGTTACACTAAGAAGTAAACATAGCCAACAAAGAGAATGAAAATTTATTAAAATATGAATATTAATTAATTTTTAAGATAAACTGACAATTTATTAAGCAACAGAAATATATAAATTTATTTATATCCCTTTTAAATTTAAATTTTAATGTTAAAGAAACAGAAAGAGATAGAGAGAAACTTTTAATGTTGAAGTATAATCTTGATTTATTTATACAATAAAATTCATACACAAACTTGAACTTGTTTATTTAGTTACAAATAGAGATGGCAAAACGGGCTCAGTCCGCCGAGCCGGGCCGGCCGGCCTCGCCCGCCAAATGGGACGGGACAAACTGATTTTGTCAAATCCGCCGCTCGCCAAGCCCGCCCGGGGCTGGAATTTTTATTTTATTTTTATTTTTTTTAGTGTAAATGTCATGGGCTTGGCGGGCAGCCCGCCTCGCCCGCCCAAATGGGACGGGGCGAGCTGAGTTTTCTTGCCCACCTTCAAGGGCAGGGCGGACCAGCCTATTTTTTGGTGGGCTTATGACGGGCTGGGGCGGGGCGGGCAGCCCGCTTTGCCATCCCTAGTTACAAACGAAGTTCCTCAAAAATTCAAGTTAAAGTTAAATTATGTAAGGACAACGCAATCCATTCATGTGCTCATATTACTTGTATCCACTTGTATCTTGACCACTGATCCACTTGTATCCAATGGCTCATATTACTTAAAAATTTAAGCCCTTAGATATAAGTGGGATTAACGGACAAGATTAAGAGTGTAACTTACACAGGTGTAAAATGATCCTGACATATATACATATATATATATATATATATATATATATATTATTCTAAAGTAAAACCGTTTATTGGAAACTTTGATGATGTGTCGCATTCTCCTTGAATATGAGGTTTGTGTTCACACTTAAAGGAATTTGAAATGTTTCCTGTTATAGTAACTTTTTAAATTGTTTTTAGGCTTATAATTTTAAAAAAATAAATTGAAAACCGATTAAAAAAATAGTTTTTGACACACATAATTAGATTTCCACTATCTCTTTATTGGAAGCTGCGAAAGTTGGAAGCTGCAACAATTTATTGAATCTTATTGGGAGCTGAAAAGTTTTTTAAATTATTGAATCTTATTGGGAGTTGAGAAGTTTTTCAGAGTTATGCCTTAGTGGAAACTGATAGGTTTTTTTGCAATAATTTTTTTTTTCAAATCTTTAATACGCAAAATTAAGTTTAATTTACGAAATTATTTTGTGTATAAATAAGATATGTTTCTGGATATTTTCATGTGCTAATCGTGCACATATTTTTTCCATTCTCTGTCTTTTTATCTTCTTCGTCTTCTAATATTGTTCTAACTAACGCTCTGGCAAACAGCTCTTCTCCACCTTGCAATCATAGGGCTTCGAACAACATCTTGGACCTCAAGATCCTTGCCATTTCAGGTGTTGACGATCTTAAGCGCCGGATCGATCGCTCTCACTCTGAAATCCTCAAGGATCTCGAAGCTTCTCATTCGCGTCTCCACAAGCATTTCAAGGTTTCTTCTTCTCACGCTTTCTTGCTCTCCTTGGTTGTATCAGTTCAATAGGGTTTGTGAAATTCTTTGTGTGTGGTTACTGATGACAAATTTTTGATGGCATCTTTTTTGTAGGGTTGAACCCCTAATAGAAGATATATTGCATGAGAGTTGAACCCCCAAGTCCGACGACATCGTTGAACTCCCTCTCTTCCCTCTCCCTCTGGTCCTTTTCCCCGTCACCATTCTTCCTCTCCAGATCTTCGAGTTCTGGTACCGGATAATGATGCACATAGATCTCATCTTCAATGCTCTCTATAGCAATGTTGTTTCGGGAATACATTTTATATATATTTGATGTCTTTTATAAATGATATTGTAATTTGATGATTCATGTTTTGGGTATTGGGGTTTTTCTTTTTTCTTTTTCTTGTGTGTTTGTAAGTTGTGAGTTATTGGTTTTATACTTGCTGTAAACTTTGATTACGCCAGAGTTTTGTCTTCCTTCACTTTCATGTTTACACAGAAGCAACCGATTTGCTACAAAAATTATCATTAGATACTCATCCCAAGGCCTGGGAAATTCCCGAGCCTGCCAAGAAGGTAATTTTTTTGGTTTTTATGTCTGTCAGTGATTCATGATTGAACTTCATCCCTCTTGATGTTAGTGTAGCATTTGAAACATTATAATATTAGCAGCTGAGAATAAAATGAGATCTTTTTACCTGGCTATATGCATTTTCAGTTCTTTCCGTGGTATTAAATTAATTTTTCAAATTCCGTGTAGGCTACTATAGCAATCAATATGGTTCAGTTGAATGGCCAGATCCCTCCATATGAACGGTCTGTAACCCAAGTGTTACAAGATTTCATTGATCCCAACATGATTTATCTTCCGAATGGTTACCCGTCCACTGCCTATTATTACGGTGGTAAGTAATCTGATCTTTTTTCCCCAAAGACAGCTTAGAGGAAAATCTACATGGTAATGTTTCAGTGGTTTTTTGCTTTCCCTTTTCACCCATCATTTGAATTGCTGGAAGATGGAAATGATGCTAATATGAATTTTGAAATGAATGTAGGAAAGAACAAGGATGGATCTATCTTAACATGGGAAATGAGATTTAATATAGCTGTTGGGATCGCAGAAGCCCTTGATTACCTACACAGGGAAGCTTTGAAGCCTGTTATACATAGAGATGTCAAGTCTTCAAACATTCTTCTTTCCTAAGGGAGCATGTCGTCAATTTTTGATTAGTTTCTTTGAATTATAACGCCTCTATAGTCTATATTCTATATCATTAGTTTGTGCGATTATAGTTACATTAAGGGGAAAAAAAGAAAAAAAAGAGCTGCGCCCTTTAATGACGTAGTTTGTTGATTTAGAAAGGCAAAGTTTTTTTTTAATTTATCCTACCAATAATGTACTAATTATGGAATTGTGTTTATTATAATGCATGCATCGTTGGCAATGGTTGAATATGTGAATAATTTTTGCTTAGCCATTATGTATCCGTTGACTGAAATCGACCATTAGACATAATTGCATGAGTAATTGTTAACCCTATTAATGTCCCACTATTGAGCTTAATTAGTAAAAAAATAAAATTATTTTGTTTATAAATAGTGGCTGGTGACTCAAAACCCAGAATTCAAGTCACAAGCCTCATAAAACAAATTAGTTAATTACTAAGTCAAACTAAAGGAATTATAGATTAAACAAAAAAATATTTAAAATTATATATAATGTATAGTTGATTAAAAATAATTTAAATAAAAAATATGAAATGACATATCTTCTATATCTATACTAAATGAAAATCATTCTTTGGCAAGTTGATGTCTGTTGCTCTCTCCTCCAATATCCACATTCATATATAGACCACTTTAATTTTTTCAACTTTTAGAAACGTTGCAAATTTGAATTTTTATTAGATAAGTGAGAAAAGATTTAAGCATTCATTACAAAATATTTCACTTTTCAGATTTGAATTTTGAAATTTGAACTTGATGTGTGGAAAAATAGGTCATCATTTACTACAAATATAAAATTACACTACTTTCTACCTTTGAAATTGAGTCTATTAATTTCGCTACATTCAAGAAAAACTATAATAACAATGAAATCACTCTAAAATGTTTCCTATTTAATAAGATTCAAAATTCAAAATTTTAATTCAAATTTTTAATTCTATCACTTCTTGATGCATTGAAATTGGTTAAGTCTATTAATGATATTTATTATTATACCTAAAATTTTTTTTGCATGAGTAATTCTTAACCCTATTAATATCCAACTATTGAGCTTAATTAGTAACAAAAATAAAATTCTTTTGTGTATAAATAGTGGCTGGTGACTCAAAACCCAGAATTCAAATCAAAAGCATCATAAAACAAATTAGCTAATTACAAAGTCAAACTAAAGGAATTATAGATTAAACAAAAAATATTTAAAATTATATATAATGTATAGTTGATTAAAAAATAATTTAAATTCAAAATTTAAATAAAAAAGAAGAAATGACATATCTTCTATATCTACACTTAAAGGAAAATCATTATTTGGCAAGTTGCTGACTGTTGCTCTCTCCTCCAATATCCACATTCATACTACATACCACTTTAATTTTTCCACTTTTAAAAACGTTGCAAATTTAAATTTTTATTTGATAAGTGAGAAAAGATTTCAGCATTCATTACAAAATATTTCACTTTTCAGATTTGAATTTTGAAATTTAAACATGATGTGTGTGAAAATAGGTCATCTTTTATTACAAATATAAAATTACACTTTCTGCCTTGGAAATATAGTCTATTAATTTCGCTACATCCAAGAAAAACTATAATAACAATGAAACCACTATAAAGTAAATTTAATTTTAATAAAAAATTATTAATTAAACGGAAAAAATATTTAAAATTATAAAAATATAATTTAAAATAAAGTAAATTAATATCTTAAGTTAAAATAATGATACAAAAAGGAAAAAAATCGTACAAGAAACTTTTTAATAAATACTTAAGATAAATATTTTAAATGTATTTATATATATATGTATATAATATAAATTAAAAAAGAAAAAATTATTTTTTAAAAGTATGTATAATTAATTCTATTATCATGTTGAATTTTAAATTTTAAAATTAAATATATTATAAAGAAATCAAACTTTCATTCTTTTAATGTAAGAGTGTAATTAACACAATTTCCTATGTCGTGAATGATTACCTAGAAGCTATTACTTTGAGAATGTGCAGAGACTTCTATGCATGTTTCCCTTTATTTTTTGCATAGAAAATTGTTAAGCCTATTAATTTATAACTATGTCTATTGAGAGGGAAAATATTCAATACTTAAAATTTAAACTTTTTAAATTTGAATTTTGAACTTGAGAGGTGGGAAAAGATTCAGCATTTAATATTGATCACTACTTTCTGTATGGGAAATTATTAAGCATATTAATGATAGTTATTATTATGTCTATTGGACTTAATTATTATAACTATTAGAATTTATTATCAAACTGGAAAAAATATTTGTATAAAATTAACTTAATTTAAATAAAAAAATTACTAATTAAACGAAAAAAATATTTAAAATTATAAAAATATTCTTTAAAATACAAACGACACAAATTCTTGCAAAAAATAATTATTTATTATTATTTTTTAAATCTGATTGTAATAAATGAAAGTCCATCTCTGAGATAAAATATAAAAATTTAAATGTGACGATAAGAACTTTTTGTGTGGATAAATATAAAATTCTATTGCATGCTGATAGTTAAAGTGGCAAACTGGGATCGGCCCGAAGGGCCGGCCCACCAACACATTTTTATAATTAAATTAAAGTTTTATCTTTCTTCTTTTATAATTAAATTCTTAAATCTGATTTTAATTGTTGTAAATACAAATTTGTAAAATTCAAAATACTAATGACACAAATCCTTGCAAAAAAATAATTATTTATATAAAAGAGCGATAGTTAAAGGTTGCAAACTGGGCTGGGCCTAGAGGGCCTGCCCGCCCCACCTTCCAACACATTTTTATAATTAAATTAAAATTCTGTTATTCTTTTTTAATAATTAAACTCCTAATTCATATTTCAATTTTTGTAAATACAAATTTATAAAATCTCAAATAATAACGACACAAAATTAAAATCATTAAAAAAGACAAAATTTGAAAATACAAATTTGTAAAATTCAAAATACTAATGACACAATCCTTGCAAAGAATAATTATTTATATAAAACAGTTATAGTTAGAGGTTGCAAAATGGGCTTGGCCCAAAGGGCTTGCACGCCTCGCCTGCCAACACGTTTTAATAATTAAATTAAAATTTCACTTTTCTCCTTTTATAATTAAATTCCTAATTCAGATTTCAATTTTTGTAAATGCGAATTTATAAAATTCCAAATACTAACTACACAAAATCACAAATCCTTGCAAAAAAATAATTATTTATTATTATTTTATAAATCTAATTATAATAAATGAAAGTTCATCTCTGAGATAAAATAGAAAATCTTAGACGTAATTATAAGAGCCTTTTTTGTGAATAAATATAAAAACGTTAGTTATAGGTAGCAAACAAACAAATTTCTTTTTTTCCTGTGCATCGCACGAGTTACACTTAATTTTGAAGAAGCTTTTTTACTTAGGGTGCTGATTTGGAACATTATCCAAGAAAACTGAACGCTCTTAATGAAAAATTCATGTTATTTAAGGTCAACGTAAAAAAAAAATTGGAGTCATATAATGAGCCAAGATATCAAGTTTCAAGTGTTTGAAGCAGTGAAGCTATTGTCACCTCATTCTTTAAGTCTTTGGTGGACCCAAATGTATGTTGTTATTTTTTAAAAATTTATCATTGTGGGTTCTTTATATTGTTACAAGTTTTTAACATGTGTATTGATTCGATGCTGTTTAGACACATTTGTTCCAATGTAAGCAAAAAATATGACTCATACATAACCATTTGGATAATTTGCTTTCAAATCCCTTTCAGACAACGTTTTTTGGGTTCTAAAAAAATAACCTATTTTTTTTTTGTTGAGATTATTACTTCTGGGTGTTAACATATTAGCGTAATTTATTTAATGAGCATTTGCATTTTGTATCGTAGGCATAAATATGATGGTAGAAGAGGATGTCCCTGATAATGCATAAACATAGGAAATCACATGTTTGGTATGTGTTAAACTCATCCCTCCAATGATTGCTACAGAATGACACTGAATTAATAGTATAGGTACAAGCTGATCTTTTAATTCCATGTTTGCTTGGTCTGTTTGTTACCTTGATTTTATTAGTGACTGTTATAGTTAGCAATAAGTTGTATGCATTTTTTCTTTTTTTAACCATCCTCATTTTAACATAGTCTACTATGGCGTATTTATTTTTTACATAACTCATCGAGTAGATAATTATATTTGATTTGCATAATATTGATCACTCTAGATAGCAGATTTTTGTTTATGGTTGACATTTGTAAAGTTCTGTGTCAATGTTGTAGTTTTTTCCACCATAAATATAGAACAAGATAACAACACAGGTTTTTGTAAGTATAAGGTTTGCAGTGCGATTAACCAACCACAGCGGACGACAAATATTTTGTTCTTTTTTCCCCGGGCATCGCACGGGTAATTCACTAGTATATATATATAGGGGTAGGATATTCTTACATTGGTATAAGAGTTAGAAGTCTTACACTCAATCTTGACCATTGATCCACTTGTATCCAATGGCTCACATTACCAAAAAAATTGAGCCCTTAGATATAAGTTGAATCAATGGACAAGATTGAGAGTGTAACTTACACTGGTGTAAAATGATCTTGACCCATATATATATATATATATATATATATATATATATATATATATATAAGGGATATGTTTTTCTCATGTTGCATGAGACAAATTATCTCATGCAACACACAAAAAAGTGGGTAGGACCCACTTTTTTCCTTTCTCTCTCTTGTTCTCAGTGGATCTCACTCATTTTGTGTGTTGCATGAGACAATTTGTCTCATTCAACATGAGAAAAATATTTCCCTATAGATATATATATGGGACAGGATTCTTTGACACTGGTGTCAAATTTAAAGTTTGACACCTCTCATCTGAGAGCCGTTAGATAAAAAAAGATCAACGACTCTGATTTGTAAGCATGTTACACCATTGATCTTTTTTATCTAACGGCTCTCAGATGAGATGTCAAACTTTTAAATTTGACACCGGTGTCAAATGATCCTATCTCTCTCTCCATATATATATATATATATATATATATAAGGTTAGGATCATTTTACAACTTTTAATCTTAACTATTGATTCCAATTATATCTAAGGGCTCTAATTTTTTGATAATGTGAGCCGTTGGATACAAGTGAATCAATGCTCAAGATTGGGTGCAAGACTTCTAACTCTTACACCGATGTAAGAATATCTTGCATTATATATATATATATATATATATATATATATATATATATAGTATATATTTCTGCAACTGATGTACGTGCAACGGTCAAATCAATACGGACCTACTCATGTGCAAGTGACTGCAAGTGCAGACACAAACACATAAGGCACGAGATTTTAACGAGCTTTGGTACGTGAACAGAGAACGACTATAGACATGGTTAGAAGGTGAATATATATAGAAGAATGGAAACAGTGGAGAGAGATGATATGAAGTTAGCATGCAGCTTTAGTTTACACTGACCTTTGATGTTTCTCTGTAGTTTCAGTGTTTGTGGCTTTGTGCCAAGTGCCATCCTTTCTATGAATGAGTGCCAAGTGCCAACAGTGCCCTTATATGTGGATGAAAAAAAAATTGTTTAACCCCCACCCCCTACACGAACATGCTGTTTTTATATCATTTTTATGTAAACCTTGTTAATCCATACAAGTTCTTAAAAGGTTTACATTTATTATCTTATATGCAAGGCATACATAAGTCCTTATCACTAAATGGTGCAGACATGAAAAAAAAAATTTTAGGTCCGCCACTTAGTCAAATACTTGCTATATATATACGTGAAAGTATTAAATATTGGGAATCATAACCATACAAAAGATAAAAGCATTAAATGTGAGAAATCATAAACATACACCTGCCTTTGATGTACGTAAAGCGGCTGCAGAAACAATTTTACCTATATGTGTGTGTGTGTGACTTTAATGTTTCTACATTGAATGTAGATTAAATTATCTATATTTGCTCTCAAAACGGCATCGTTTTGAATTAAAAAATTAATATAGAAAAAGCGAATCATATATATATATATATATAACCTTAACTCATTCATATATATAATTTTATAGTGGTTATATATAGACTACTCAAGGCATTAGATATGAACTCGTGGTAAGGCACTTCACTAGTTTTGATGAGATTATATAATTAAATTCAAGATTAATATTTTTTATGTTATAGGAGATAATTTTATCTCTACATACATATAAAAGTGTGTGGATCTATTTTTCTCTCTCTTCTTTTCACATAGGCCCCACACACTTTTTATATGTGTGTAAGAGATACAATTATCTCCTATGACATGAGAAACATTAATCTCTTAAATCTATTATTATTATTATTATGTTAAAAAATATTCAAGTTATTCATTATATTTTTTTCATCTTGTTGGGAATGGTATGAGGGAGCCCAAAACCCATTGCAAGGGATACAACCATGGGCCAAGCGATAAACCACAATAAGTGGGCCGACACCACATTTTAACCCAAAACCTTAAGGCTGTAAGTTTATGGGTCTTTTGCACTTATATGGTCATCACTTGGTCTAGGTCTAGCCAATGTGGTACTTCATTACAACTCATACTTGAATACTTCCAACACATCTATCCTTTCTTTGATTTTATTTACCAATTCATCGATTTCTCGACTGATTCGGTTCTCACTATACATGTAAAAACACTAAACTCTCTTTTTGCAACAACAAAAAAAACACTAAACTCTTATTACATATACAACTCGAATATGATATTGGTGCACTAACATTCATTACACCAGAAGATGCTGATGTAATTGATACTACTACTCATTCACATGTGATGATATTACATAACCATGGTCAATTAGTTTGTTACCTTAGTTGGTTAGCCCAATTGCCGGATTGGTTATTTGTTATTCTTTAGCTTTAGCTTCATTCATTCTTTTATTGTATCTATAAAATATACACCTAATGTAATATTTTATTCATTCAATAGAGTTGCACTCAATATTCACTCGTCATAAGGTATCATAACTTTAAGCTATGGTATCCACCATTTTTGCTACTCACTATTTTTCACTGCTTTCTTGCGAATTCTCTTGCTTCTTTCACCATTTTTCTTTCTCACAAATCCTTCACACCCTTTCTTTTTGCATTCAAGTGAAAATCCTTTTCTCATATTGATTTCTCCATTAATGAATAGTGAGAATTATCACATTTGGGCTTATGCAATGAGTATGGCGCTCCCATCCAAGAACAAGATTAGCTTCATTAATGTAAGCATTGTTCCATCTATGGTGGGATCCTTTATATAATGTGTAGCAGTGCTGCAACACTACAGTCTTAGCTTGGATTCATAGGTCTATTATAATAGCCTACACCAGTAAAATGAGAAATTAGGATTTTTGCTATGTTTAAGATGAATTAATAGATACGAAATATAATTAATGAAATAAAATCACTTTTAAGATAAAAGTGAAATTTCTGTAATTTTAGGTAAATACAGTAATTTTTACAATTACCGAAAAATTTAGATGAGATACAAGAAAATATCTCATGAAATTATTAAATGCTAAAATCCATGATATATGAGTAAATTTATGGGTTATGAGTTATCACACACATATAAAAAAAATATTGAGTCATGGCTAGAAATGAGTAAGAAATCAAAGTTAAAACATGAAGTTTGTATGTCTAGTGGTGTAACCAATATCTACTGGTCACTTATGTGACTAAAGAAAATAAGAAAGAGACAAAAACTCAGCCATTTTCCCTTCCTCCTTCGTGCAGCCCGTCCACCATGAGAGGAAAAAGAAAGTTTTGAGTGAAAAATTTCACAAAATCATATTTTGAGTTTTAGACATGCAAATCAAGTGCTTCCAAAGCCTAACTCAAAAGAAATTTCGAGAGGAATCCATTGGTACCAATATTTTGAAGTGGGGTTCACGGTAGAGAGAGTTCCTCTTCCTCAAAGATTTCGAATTTCTTGAGAAAAATGGGAGCTTGAGTCCATTTTCCCCTCCATTGTTGATCCATTGTGGTAAGGAATCACCTCTTTTTTCTTGTTTTCATGAAATTTTAAGAATTATAGGTTTTTATGAATAGTGAATTCGAAATTTTAATGGTATGATGAGTTAGAGGTTGATTTAAATGAATGTTCCTTTACAAAATATGCTTAGGATTGCTTCTTGATAAGGAAAAATCGATGAGCTCACCATTTAGACCACCTTGAGATTTTAGTCATGAAAAGTATTAAGTCTTATATATTTGATGGTTTGATCATAATATTTTAATGTGTTTATTGATGATTATTGGTTGTTGGATACATTGAAAGTTGAAAGAACTAGTAAATGTTGAAAGAAAATCATGTGGGATTGTTTAAAGAACAAGTGGTCATTTGGCCATTTGGATAAAAACGAGTGAAGATCATGTGTTTGATAAATTGTGAATAAGAAATGATGATTATTGATCAAAGGATTGATGAAAGATGTGTTTAAAAACTATGTGAAGCTAAGAGTGTTTATGAAATCTATATGTATGCATTCGACCATGTGAGAGAACAACTATGTAGGAAGTTGTTTAATTATTGAATGATGATGGATAATGATCCTTAGATCATGTAATGTGTAATGGACTAAGTGGTTGTCATTAAAAATCTTGTTAAGTTTATTAAGTTTGATTGTTATGTTTATGACATGTTAAGGAAAATTATGTGGACAATAATTCAATGTTGTTTGTTGGTGGTTGAGATTCAAGGAACATGGTAGTGATTTGTATTGGAGAACCTTGAAAGTTGATGAATTCACAAATTTCGGCCATGATGTGAATAAATTGATTGGAAGCATGTTAGATTTTGGTTATGATTTGTAGGCTATTTTGATGACATTATAAGCCTATTTAAAGTGTTAGATATCTACTTTGAGTTAGTGGTAAAAGCTAACTAGGTTAGGTCCATTCTTTAACTTGTGAATTAATTAGTAATGACTTGTGTGTTTGACATATATTGGCATGAAAATATGTTAAGGGGTGTTATGGCATGAATGGAATGTTATTAAACCAATTTGAATGTCATTTACGAAAATTTAAGGAATCATTAAAGTGTTGAAGCTTTGTATGTAACACTTGAAATATGACATATATGGTAATGATTGGTGTTGATTCCTAATTAGGTTTGAGCCTAGAGATATTGAATTGGAAGATCAAGTTGTGGAAGGAGGTGACTAGCTTGCTTGTGTTACAAGTAAGCCTTGTGTGGGAACTTCAAGAGGTAAGCTTATGGTTTAAGGAACCTTCTATTTTCTTGTATGTTCCACCATGGTCCAATAAGGCTATGGTATGGATAATTATGTGATTGAATGTTATATAGATAAGTATGTAATATGATATGATATGCTTGCTTTGTGGTTCTTAACCATTGAACATTTGCATGCCTATGCTTTCATTGAGGGACCAAGCCTCAAGAGTATATCATGCGGAGGGACCCAAGCCTCCATAAGGGACTCAAGCCTTAAGTGCATGAAATTATTAGGGATTCAAGCCTTTGGATTATCATGTTGGAACTTTCGGGGGGACCCAAGCCTTCAGGAGATTCTATTTAGACTATCCACTGGAGGACCCAAGCTCTTGGAAGTTACATGTGTATGATGATATGTATATATGATGTTTTGTATCTGACCTCTCATGTAGGAAGTTGACTCATGGGTGGAGACTACTCTATAAACCCTAAGTTTACTGAGATAGTAATCTCACCCCGTTTGGGGACATGTTTTCGGTGTGCCAGAGCAGGAGAGTCCTCCCAAAGCAAGAACCCTGTCCAGGGCTAGAGGACTCAGTTGGGTTGTGATGTCGTACTTTTTAGATTGTACATCTATTACTTTGGGTCATGATATATGACCACTACAGTTGTATATGGTCTGTACTATTTTGAGATGTTTGTTCATACATGGTGTATGTATATTTGGTAGTTCAGGCATATATGTATGTATTTATTCATTGAGATGCATATTTTAGTAGCATGTATAATTATTTATACTGTCAAGTTAGATAAGATGTGTATTGGCACGGAGCCAATAGTTGATTGAATCTGTGGATGGATTCTAGGTTCGATGAATGGGCTATCAGTTATATGCATATATGCTGGACTTTTCTGATTGACAGATATTGAGTATAAGAGTGGGATTTAATCCCTAGATTTTCCAATTTACAGTGAAAATATTATTCGTGTGACTTTGTCGGGGTTGGTATAGGTTATCATACCCTGATGGTCTTTGACTGCTGCTTATGGTCACAGGATTAATAAGTAAATCTGTTGTGCAGGTATGAGACTGTACAATCAGTAATATTATGGAAAAGTTATTTGCAATGTGATACATCATAAAAAGAGAAGGAAAAAGTTAATTCTCGAAGTTACATAGGTTAACAGTGAACTTTAAAGTAAGTCTTTTGCTTAGGCATTTAAATTACGTTGTGCTTTAATACTATATGCATGTTAACTGACCGGCTCGATACGAGGATGTTACATCTATCACCAATTCTATTGCGCAATTCATTCTCTGGATTGATGAGGCATACTAAGCCTAGGTTGATCTCAAGAATAGATTTGCATAGGTAGATGTTTTCTGAGTGTCAGATATCCAGGAGGAAATCTATAAGCTGCAACAAGGAAGTGCAAATATCATTGATTATTATACACAATTGAAGATATTACAGGACGAGTTAGAGTACCTCAAGCCATTGCCAAGATGCATATTTGTTGAGCTTTGTTCTTGTAGAGCACTTGCTCTGGTGAGATCATAGAGAGACTGGGACTACATGATCAGTTCTTAAAGGGGCTCAAAGAGCAATATGCTCATGTGAGATCTCAAATCATGCTTCAAGATCCTATGCCCAACATAAATAAGGCTTTCTCCTTGGTTACTCAATAGGAGAAGCAATTCTACTCAGAGTTGAGCTTTGATTTTGCTGATTCGCGTCTATGCATGAACACCGCTGATAATAATTGAAAGTTCTCCTCTAACAAAACCAAAGATTGCAATACCAAAGTTGTTGGCCATAGCAGTACTAAAACATGTACGTATTGTGGCAAGAACAATCACACAATTAATACATTTTATTGGAAGCATGATTCCCTCTGGGCTATAAATCTTCATCGATGTCAAAGACTCGTGGATCAACAAATTTTGTTATGCATGATGCTCTTGAACGTGACTCCACTAGTCAAGAAGTAAGGTAAGTCAAGAGTGGCCTTTCTTTTTCATATGAACAGTAACATAACTTCATCAATCTTCTAAATTCTACACAAGTTCAACCAGCAGTTCACGACACTCGTATGCAAGAGACTAAGTTTACTAGAAGCTCTGTAATGGCAGCTAACTTTCCAATATTGTACTAGGTAATGATTCTATTTGTTGGCTCTTTGACGTAGAAGAAACTAATCACACCAGTTTGGTAATATCACGTTTATTTCGTCGAATCATAGCCATCTCCATTGTGTTTCTTAATGGTTCTCAAGAACTGACTTGCCTTTTCTAGAACAATACATATTTCTTATTCCCTCGTTTTACTTGATGTACTTTACGTTTCAGAATTCAATGTTAACTTGATATGCATTTGTAAACTTGTTACTTCCCTTTCCTACCATTTGTTGTTTCATAACTCCTCTTGCTTGTACATGTTAGTTCTTCCAAGAATTCAACATCAACGATGTTGCCTTGGGAAACACATCATCTTCATTGGCAATAAGCTCGCTTAGCGATGAAAAAATTGTGGCACTTTCTCTTGGGTAATCTTTCCTATTAAATTTTTCAACAAATGTCAACAAAGTTTCCTTTTATTCCTCCAAATCATACAAACCCATGTAATGTATGTCGGTTTGGTAAGCCACGAAAGTTACCTTTTCATTCCAATAATACAAAAAGTATACACATCTTTGACATATTAGATGTAGATATATAGAGCCCTTACTATTTTCCTTCTATACATGGGCATTGTTTTAATCTAACTATGGTTGATGATCATTCACGCTACACTTGGTCAATACCTCTGAAAACTAAAGCTGAAGTAGAAATCATATCCAAAATTTTGTCAGTTTGTTGAAAATCTATTCAAGACGACACTAAAGATCCAGCATGGTGACAATGCTATCAAATTCTCGATGCATGATTACTATAATAGCTAAGAAATTATCTGCCAAAGGAGTTGTATTGATACTCCTCAACAAAACAGTATCATCGAGATGAAGCATCAACATATATTAAATATTGCACGAAGTCTGCTTTTTCAATGTGGTCTTCCTCGAAGCTTGTGGTGTTACACAATTAAACATGTGTTTACTTTATGAATGGGCTCAACACACCACTTCTCAACCATATATACCCTTACGAAATCTTATATCGGTTAGCTCCAACACTTACTGATCTTGAAGTGTTTGGTTGCCTTAGTTATGCAAGCACCAATTCCTCCCATCATATAAGGGCCTGTTTATACGTTATAACATTTTCAGTTGTTTGGTGTGATCATCGTATAGTATAAGCTTATACAGCATTATTTCTTTATACATTAAAATGATGTATAACTTAATCAAGCTTAAGGGGTAGGATTAGGCCTGATAAAAGGTTGATGTATTAATGTTGCTTTAAAGTACAATTCTCAAGAACTAATATATTATTTCAATATTAATATATTAAAATAATTTTTTTTAATATATTAATTTTTAAAATATTGGATGATATTATCTTATACAATACCATACCAAACGCAGAATAGTATTAAAATTTAATCAGGTCTTATACAATCAGGTCTTATACTATCAGGCCTTATCTTATACTATGCACCAAACATGCCCTAAGGTTCTTATCAAGAGTACATAAGTGTGCTTTTCTGGGTTACCCAGAAGTAGGAGTGTTAAGGTCCGGACGAGATTGATTTTGAAGCAAAAGTCATCCAATCCAATCGCTTCGGTTCGATCATTTAATCGTCCATTTGGTTTGGATATTTTTTTAAAATTCGATACGATACGATCCAATCCAATTTTATTCGATTTTGATTGGATCAGTTTTCGATTTTTCGAAAAGTCTAAAATGTCAGTCATATAAATCACTAGCTATATCAAAATAAAGTCATTTAAAGTTACAAACTACTGAAAAATTCAAGTCTTAAACTCATGAAGAGTTAAAATAGGTTAATAGACAATAAAAAACTAAAACAATATAGTTTGTTATTAATAACATCCAAAATTCCAAGTTTACAAAACAATAAGATTCCAAGTCACCGTCTTTCAAAAACAATAGATACATAATATATTGGTCGATTTTCACCAACCAAAATCGAAAATAGATCAAATCCCATTAAAATTTGTGATTTTTTTTCGATTTTTTATTTTTCAGTTTTTGATTAATCCAGTTATCAATTTTTTGGTTCAGTCACCGTGATTTAAATCAGTTTGTATCGATTGATGAACATCAGCCTTTCAAATCGAGAATTGTTTATGGGGTTTTCGTTTGTTGCATGAAAAACGAAAACCCCGAGGTACAACCAATGTATGCCTCCGATTTGGAGAAGGCAAAGCCGAGTTGCAAGGCTACTCGGATTCTGATTTAGGGGTAGATTCCGACTCAAGGAAGTCGACGATGGGATACATGATGAGATTTGCTGGAGGAGCTGTCTCTTGGCAATCAAGACTTCAGAAATGTGTTGCACTATCGACAACTGAGGCTAAGTACATTGCCACTACTGAGGCAAGCAAAGAGATGTTGTGGATGAAGAAGTTCCTCATGGAACTCGGCCATGATCAAGACAAGTACGAGCTGGGTTGTGACAATCAAAGCGCAATCCATCTTGCGAAGAATTCGACCTATCACTCCCGCACTAAGCACATTGATGTGGGGTATCACTGGATCCGGGATGTGGTGGAAGGTGGAGAGCTCGAACTCGTCAAAGTTCACACTGACCAAAATTGGTCCGACATGATGACAAAGCTGGTTCCAGCAAGGAAATTTGAAGACTGCTATTAAGGAGCCGGGCTGATTCTGAAGCCGACGCATTGAAGTCGGAGGGGGAGATTTGTTGGGCTTCCTCCTTCAATGCTAAGCCCAAGCTCATTGAGGGGTTTCTCAAAAACCCTAAACCCTAAATTACACCTCCTCTATATATTCATTAGTTGAGGGTAGATGCTAGGTTAGATTGAGAGATTAGAAATTTGAGAGAAAATTATTTGAGAGATTTGAGCAAAGCTTTATGTTTTGCATTTGAGAGATCTCTAAAGAGAGTTTGAGTGAAACATCTCTAGGGTAGTTTGATTATCACCATTGTTGGAGAGGTTGAGTTAACCACCACATTGGTGTATTTGATTCTTTGTAACCATTATTTTCATAGTGGATTTTTAATCTGGACTAGGTCCCGTGAGTTTTTACTTCTTCATTGAAGAAGGTTTTCCCACGTTAAAAACTGCTTGTATTCTCTCTCTCCTTCTCTCTCTCTCTCCAGTCTTTTGTTTTGATTTTCCGCTGCGTTGTCCGACCTGGTAAAGTTCAGACCGAGGTATTGTCGAGATGATATCAGGATCTTGCAGACTAACTGACTTCTGCAAAAAAAAAGCCCCTGAGCCGAGCTTGAGGAAACCGAGTTCCCAACAGAAGATGCAGATGCAGTTGATATTGTTGCCCATTCACCACATGATAATATTAATAGCGATGTTTAGTTAGTTATTTTGTTAGCTTAGTTGGTTAGCATGGTTACCAAAATTTGTTCTTTGTTATTCTTTACTTTTAGCTTCATTCATTTTTTTGTATTTATAAAATATACACTGATGTAATCTTTTATTCATTTAATGGAGTTGCACAAGTATTCACCGATAAAATCTCTCCCCTATAAAATTTTTAATAATTATATATCTTAATTAAGTTATAGGAAAAATGTTTGTCATTTTAAATAATATAAAACTCTGTCCTTTTAAGAGAGAGACAAACACAGAAAAAAAACTTTATTTAAATTTTAAATAAAAAAAACTATCCACTTTCTCTCTCCCATGATTTCCATTTTTTTGTGTCTATCTCTCTCTCCTAAAATGACATAACTTATATCATTTAAAATGACAAACACCAAACCTATAAATTATATACCAAGTTAATTCAAATTCTATCCAGATGTGTATCTAGCATGCATGTAAAAAAATAAAATCATTAATTAAGTTGAAATAATCATCATTCTTGTTAAAATTTTGATTTATCATTACCATTTTATGTTTTTACAATATTTTTCATCAAAACGATTTTACTAATATTTCAAATGCTTTTACGTTTTTATAATTTTTTACGATTTTTTTATATTACGATTTTACATTTTACGATTTTTTAATCCTCTCTCAATTTTACGTAAGATTTCAATTTTAACAACATTGATAACCATTACTAATTGATCCACGTCTTGGTGGATATCACTCATCTTTAAACCTGGTAACTATAATTTTGTTCTTTAATCATGTCATTAAAAGCACTTGTTTTATAAATTATTGCGGGGTTACAATTTTGTAAGTCTTTTTATTTTTGGATGACGAGGATGATAATAATATGGGGAAAAAAATGTGTCATTTTAAATGATTCATCTTACATCCTTTCACTCTCGCAAAGAAGTGAGACCTGTATTTTTAAAACTTTTTCCCCTCACACTCTCTCCAATGATTTATCTTTTTTTTCTCACACACAATTTTATATCCATTGAAATGATACACATTTTTTCCTAATAATAACTGTAAATTGGAACTTGGTTTTTACTCATGAATATTAAGCGTTATTAGAATGTTGAAAGAGAGAGAGTGTGAGTGCGTAGGGTAACACACACAAAATATGAAGAAGTCATCAGGAGGCGCAGCAGAGAAGAAGAGGGTGCGACGCTCCTCCGCACCAGATCCCAACTCCGACGTCCCTCCTAGGGTTTCTCTCTCTCTCCTCTCTCTCTCTAGGGTTTCCAATTCCTCTTCCAATTCGCAATTTCCCATCATAATTCTTCATTCCGAAATGTGCTTGAATTGCATTGCAGTCATTATTTACTCACCTGGACTGAATGCGTTTTGTATTGTTCATAATTGTTCGTTTCTAAGGAAAAATTTTAGATCAATTTTACAGTTTCTTTATTTTTTCTGTGCTTTTTTTGGGAGTTTGAATTTCAGAAATGTGCTGATTGGAACTTCGGTACCACAAAAATATATGCATATTTGAAATAAACTATAAGAATTTTTTTTTTTGGTGGGTGTTAATCATATTTTTAGCTTAATTTTTGCATACCATTTTGTCGTTCAAGACAGGATTTTTGCTATAATTATAATTTTTGTTTTCTTTTTCTCTAGTGTTTTTAATAGGGAAACATGAAACTGTACTGTAATTCTTATTGACATTTGATCTGGTGAATGTGTGTGTGTGTTTAGATTTATATATTGATCATGTCAAAACCTGGTTTTCTGAAAGCTTTTTTCTTCCTCTTCCCACAAGATCATTTTGTTGGGTTATGTTTAATTGCGCTCTGTTTTGGTCTTTTTTATGCCCCGTTTTTATTTGACAAGCAAAAGTTGTTTATGTTATTTTGTGACTGTATTGGGATTTTGTTTTGCTTTCAGAAACAAGCTGCCAAGAAAGATGTGTTTCAGGTTTTTGCTGAGAAGGTGAGAGACAATAAGGATTTGGTTTCTAGATGGGCTGTTCTACAGGAGACACGTGTTGAATATTTTAGAGGGAAGGATTTCGTGAACTTCTTGAAGAATCATCCTGAGCTCAAAGATACTCTAGAATCAGATAAGAATTTAGAAACAGAGGATATTGCCAACATTCTACTTGGAAAAAGTCTTTTAGTTCGCTGTGATCGTGTGGTTAAAACTCTTCGTCCTGGGAAGAAAAAGTTGTCTACCTGGCCTGCGCATTTAGAAATTTTCCCTGTGAGTACTTTTTATTTTTGGTTTGAGTCTACTTACTGCAATTATTGAGTTGCCGTGATTATGTTAGAAATTTTAACTTAGATGTGCTTACATGTGGATGTGTCAATATTTCAGAATCTTCAATACTAACCTGTTTGATATTATATTCTTCTTTGATCTTCATTAGCTGTTACCAAAATCCTTTTCTTTCTTTGTTTCTTCTTCTTCAGTTCGCAAGCTTTATTTCTGAAGTTCTCAGACTGCTGCTATCCAGGATAAGGGTTGGAACTAGGATTTAATTACAGGGAATGTCCAAAATAGTGTGATTGAAGGATTTTAAGAGAACACTACACTTAGCCAATACTATATTGTACAAAAATATAGCCAACAAGGGTAAAGGGTAGGCCTGTTGTGACCGGAGTATACATTAGGAAGGGTAAGCTGGATGTAGACAATCCAGCACCCAATAGCTGACTTGGACACATGGGATTGGCCGATTGGAGAGTGAGAGAACAATTCTGTTAGGGGAGTAATTCTGTTATGATGTCATGTTAAAAATGGGAGAGGGCGAGCCTTGGAGCAGTGTTAAAGTTGCTCCTTGTGACTGGAAGATCACGGGTTCCAATGTGGGAAACAGTTTCTTTGCAAAAATACAAGGGTAAGGCTGTGTACAATCAGCCCTCTTCCCTACCCTCGCACGTTGGGGAGCCTTGTGCATCGGGGGTTATGTTACAAGAAGAAGGGGAGAAAGGGGGGGGGGGGTCATGTTAGTCAATAGGTAGTGATTGCCTGATTGGGTTGAGTATTTTGGGTAGCATTTGTGCTGAGGGAGACAACTGACCTCTTAGTCATTGTAATAATCTTTTCAGGACACTAAATATATACTACAAGTTTCTATCTCTATTTTCTGTGTTTTGTTTTTTGTTATCCATAAAAAAGTTTCTATTTTGGAAATTTATGGTCACTCTTAGTCTATGATGCACTGACACTTCAAAAAAAACCTAATGTGTCGTATCCGACACTCCAACACGCGTTGCAGAGACTCAAAAATGATTCAAATGTTGCGTTGCGTTTTTAATTCCATCTATTAGATTCGTTGGATTACGATTACCATTTTATTGAGTTTAATATAAATATTTGTGATATCTTATGTTTCTTTGCAAAATTGATGAGTATTATAAGTTTAACTTCATTTTTTTGATAAATTATTGAATATTAAATATAATATACACTACATAAATTAAAAATATTATTTAATACCAAAACGTGTCCTAACGTGTCGAAATCTACCATTTTTTAGAATTAACGTGTTGGAGTGTTGTGTCTCGTGTCCCGTGTTGGTGTCGGTGCAACATAGCTCTTAGTGGACAGTGTATTCTTGCCTCTGCCTGACATGGTTATTTGTGCTATGTTGAAAGTGGATGACCTGATGATTCAATCAAACAATTTATTGGCCACTTTTTTTGGGGTCATCTTATTCTTTTTGGTTTTATCTTGTATATGTATGTTTGCATTAATGAGTGTCTGTTTTTTGAATTCCAATTAATCAATAGCTGATCCATTTATAAACAGGTCTATTTTTTGTGCTAGCTATATGTGCATGACATATTGTATGGTATACTGAGAAAATTATATTTACCTTGTGTATTTTTGCTATCAAGGATATTTTATTCTTTTAAAGAAAACATTTTTAAAAACTTTAAGGAAGATATATTTTAAATGCATATTCTCTGTTGATTTTTTTTTCTCCATTGTAGGTTATGGGATTGGATTTTTTGTGTGTTTGAATCTAACAAAATTTGATTGTCTTTGGCAGGAACAAGTATTTTCTGAAAATGATGCTTTTTTTGCATGGACATTTGTAAAACGCCATCCACTTTGGCAGACGCTCCTCTCATTTTTCTGGCCTGTCTTAACATTGGCTATTTGCTTATTTCCTGTGTACCCTCATCGCTGCAAGATATTAATACTTTACTCATGCGCTGGGATCCTGTTTCTTATTCTCTCTCTACTTTTGAGTAAGTTTTGCTTTTTTTTTTTAATATTTGATTGTTTTTGCCTAGTTTCTTCACTTCTGAATTCTGATTACCCTGTTAGACTGTTTTTACCAAGCTTATGTCTCACATCAATTCCATTATATGTTGTAGCTTTTTACCATGTGTACAATTACAATCTTGACTCATTTGCTGATACCTATGTAATATGAACAGAGAAAAAAAAAAAACTTTCACGTGAGGTGATTGGAAGTCAATCTACCATGACAATAATTCAGATATTTAGGCCTTGGATGAGGAAGAGAAAATTGAAGGTTTAGGTTTAGCACTTGAATGGTTAATCGTTCATCCATGATGAAGAATATAATAATAAAAGACTCTTCAATCTTATATATTCCCCTAGATTATTCTGATTTGTCTCAAACCTCCCATGAACGGGAACACTTTTTGAAAAGTCAGGAAAATCCAGGGTTTGTTTGTGTAGGTTTTCATGGTTGGTTTCTGTAGTTTCAAGGGAGGTTTGCATACGTTTTCAAAAAAAGTGGGATTTTTGTGACAATAAAGGCAAATGTGGGAGGTTTGGTGTTTTTCGCCCCAAAATAAATATACATGAAGGAAGAAAAGGAAAAGTGAATTTTCTGTTTTTCGATAATAAACTTAAAAGAGGTGGTTATTTTTCAACAATAATGGAGACATAAGATACCTCTGCTGCAGTGAATTTATAATCATTGAATAGCTCTCACCCTTTTACAGAAGAACATGCACCTTCATGAATCGTATGGCTTGAAAACTGGTGCTTTAGAGTTTAGACCTATGAAATACGTATGTATTAACATGTTGTATCTTTATTATGTATACTTTTGGGGACCTTAATACCTGATATTAGTTTCTTTGCTTACAGTCCCACATGGACCAATGGCTTTTTATATCTCCTACAATCCTATTATAATCTATCAAAATGGAAAAAGGCTCTTTCAATTTTTTTCTTGCATACACCTTGTTCTGGATTACATCTATTAGTTACTTTGGTATTTACTGGCAGGAGTTGTCCCAATTTATGACTGTTTTAGACTCCTATACCTTCCTAATTGTTTTCAGCTTTTGTAGACTTCTAGAATGTACAATTCATAATCATTAAATGCTCAAGGAATCGGATATTGTTTTTACTTTATTTATGTGCCCTGGCACTTATAATTTTTCAATTAGAAGTGATTAATTGTGTGAAATTATACTGGATGAGTGCACCCATTCTGCTTCAGTGGTTCTTTGGGCCTCATGAATATTTTTTAATATTGCAGTAAGAGGTACAATATTTGGCGCTTTATATATTATTCTTGGAAAGCGGATCTGGTTTTTCCCAAACATCCTTGCCGAGGAAGCAACACTGCGGGAGTTGTTCAGATTGTGGCCTAAGAAAGATGAAGAGGAAAGACCTAAGTGGACAACGAGGCTATTCTATGCTGTGGTAGCTGTGCTGTTCATTTTATTGCTGAGGCATCATGCACCTGATGAAGCTGCCAGAGCAAGGTGAGTCCTAAACATGATGGAGCCTTGCACTTTTTTGCAGTCATGCTCTCACTCACAGCTTAAATTCCTTTTTGGTTGGATCTATGAGACACATGATGGGAGGGCTATTCTGTTGCTCTGTCTAATTCATTGTTTAATCTTTGGCTGTATATTTGACTTTCTGCAGGTACCAGAAGAGAGTATCTAACATCATTGATGATGTTCTTGAATGGTCTCCAAGTTTAGCCTTGTCTGGGATGATGGAGAAGCAAACAAATGTGGTTAATGCCACAGGGTCCGCTGATGCTGACTCACAACCGAGCAAAACACCGGAGCACACAGCTCCACCTGATGATGGTGATGATGCAAAGACTTACACGGAACAGTTTAGTACTGAAGAAGTCATTGATAACTTAGAGGATGCAGGTGAAGATAAACAATATGATTAAATGGCAGTTATATACCTAAATCATATATATCTAGTGACTAGATCACAATTTTCCTTTTATTTGAGTGTAAAAGTACCGTGTATGAAATAATAACAGTAAAAGTGGTTCGTTTTCAAATTGATGTTTTTTAAAGGATTGTGTTTTCCTTCCTAGTGTGCTTGTGCTTCTCAACGGGGTTGACAGCATGTTGCTTTATACTTTAAGCTGGTTTTTACATAACATTCTCGATAGGCACATTGATGTGAATTAGACTTTTGGTTAAAAAGAAGCATATGAAGTGGGAAGGAATTTGTTCCTTTTAATAAGAAGTCTCGAGTTTTCATTCTAAAAATGAAAAAAAATCGTGTTGTAAGAGATGTCTTTTATATGTATAGAGAAGAACTCGAATTGGACTAATTACATTTCAAATCAAATTTCCGATCAATTGGTTGGAAAAATAATCTCATGTTGATTGGAATTTGGTCCTTTTAATTCTCTAACTGTAATTGTTAAAAACTAGTTAACAAAGTAATATGAAGTCATGCACTTACGTAGTTGTATTTGTAATTCTATTAGAAAAAATTTCTTTAATAATTTCTATTCATGTCTTTTTCTTTTTCTTTTTAACAAAAAGAATACGAAGGGGTGACAATCAGAAAGTAGAATTTATACGCGCAATCAACATGCAGTCTCAATACGCAAATATAGAGAGGTTGTGTAGAACTAACCTGAACACACACAGACACTTAATGCATACATGAAAATTAAATGCTTCATTTTATTGCCTCTGGGCAAAATAGACGAGTTGTTATTATTCTTCAGAAAGAAACTCCCATCCGTTTAAAACAGATTACTTGTTATTACTTTGATTACTTTAAATAATTTTATATAATGTTTATCAAAATACAAACAAAAAAATGTGTGGGCTCATGTTTTTTTTCTCTCTCTCTTCTCTTCACATGGGTCAACATGGATCCTACACATTTTTTTGTGTTTATTTTGGTAAACATTAGATAAACTTATCTAAAGTAATTTTAGAAATTTTAAACTCTTTCCTTTTGGCTAGAAACCCTCCATATTTCAGATTTTTTTTAATTTTTTTTTTGTTATCTGTCATCTTAGATTCTTTTTTGAGGGAAATATTACTTGTACACAATGTATCACAAATCACATAACGTGTGGAATGTGGATGCTTGACGTGGGTATGAAAAAGGAAAAGAGAGAAAGAGAAATAATGAATGGTGTTAATAAGAGTTATGAAAATTTCGTAAGAGTCTTATAGGTAAGAAATATTACCCTATGTTAAATTGAGTCAATTAACATTATCATTGCTTGATGAAAAACACATTAATTACTTAGTGATTTTTTTTATATCTAATTCCTAAATAAAATCACGTATTAGAAGTTTAGAACTATAAAAATAACTTCATAAACCTTAGAAACTTATGTAAGGAACATGGAAGTTTTAATTACCAAAAAATGGAAAAAAATTACCAAATCTCACAAAAAAAGAGTCTAAACAAATAAACAAATTATCAATGAATTTCTTTTGGAGACATTATCAATGAATTTCTCATGTCATACTTTCATTATAAAACAAAGGGTAATAGTTTTCTTATGTAGTAGGAGATAATAATTATCTCCTACTGACTCATTTGTATAAGTGGAGTCCACTTTTAAAGAAAGAGAAAAAATAAAATAAAGTGAGACTCGTCTTGAATTTGTGTGTGTAGGAGATAAATTTTTTCTTATGTAACATAAGAATAATAAATCCCTAAAACAAATGTGTGATATCACAATCATCAAACTTAACGAGTACCAAATTCATAAACTCTAACAAGTGCCCTTTTAAAAATTAGGACCAAAAAATCTATAAAATAATTATGTTCTAACAGAGCAAACTATATGGGGACAAAATATCCCTTTCTTAACCATGAGGGTACAAAATAAATTCGAATCAAATCAGCCGCAACTTGCCCTAAGTTATAAAAGAATCATATTCCCCTTTTATCCGAAAGTACCAAGAATATTCGGACGAAGGTTTCATGACCACTTTTAAAAGTACAAAGAATAGAATATTCGGACGGGTTTCGTGACCACTTTTACGATGCTTAAAAGGGTGTATGATAGGAGGTAAAAAAATAATTATTAGCCTATATTTAATAAAAAATAAAATAAAAATATGGCTGAATTTTTTTTTCTCCTATCATTAAATAGTTGAAAAAAATTATCATTGAAGGGATGAAATTATTTTTTCCATATGATTGAAAAAATTAACAGATCACTAAAATTAACTTAACATTTTCAAAAAAAAAATTAGCCTACCAAACACCACACCTCTTAGTAACTTGCCCAAAAAAAAAAATTCTCATCATATTCTCAAAAATTATTTTTTTCCAATAAAAAAAAAATTTCTCCTCTACCAAACACCTAAAAAAAATCAAGAATTGTCCAGGAATCTACTAGAGTTTTTTTTCTTCTTTTTCTCTGTCATTTTAGCTACAGAGACGAAGGAAATATAATTTTCTTAGAAACAATGAAATGCTAAAAATTGACAAATAATGTGACTAAATAACATTTTCCTACGATGTCTCATGTAAATAGCATTTAACAACCGGTTGTTACACAAGATAAACCCGTCAAACTAGACTTGGCACATCAAGTGTTTGTTTGCTCCGATCTTGACAATCCATGTCTGCATGAGTTTGACTAACCACTACAACACTGTACAAAATGCAAAAATGAGAAAAGAATGAAGTGGATTGATTGACTTCAACAGAAACCACATAGCCAATCACTCATTCTTTCCTCCATATAATTCACACCATAAACACAAGAACAAAGCCAAGAATGATTTGCCGCTTGACATATATATTGCCAAGAGTGATTACAGATAACCAAGGTATTCATCAAATATATCTCCAGTATACATACCACCAACCTTGGCATCTATCCCCCATGCATGCAGGGGTCTACTGAATAGTAACACGCCTATGTGAAGCGTGCTTCGAAGAGATGCTTCCCCTTTGCTGACCTGAACAATCCCCTTCCTCCACTCTTTCACCTGAGGTATACATTGAAGACTGCATACCATTATGTCCATGGTAGGATCCTCTATCATTTTCATAATTGGGTGCTTCAAATCTGTCATGTGCTTTTGATCCCCTTGCATCTTGTTGCATGTTGGGAGAATTCCAAGTTTCAGCAGTGTCAGAAGGTAATGGTTCAGAACCAGATGAACTAATTGATTGTGATGACAGGACTGGACCAGAACCATGATCCTTTTCCTTGCCTGAGTTGTTTGAGGCCTCAGTGTCACTTTTCTTTGCAAAACGTCCTCCAGTACCCCTTGCCCTTCTCATAGCATGCTGATGCCGAGATTCATGAAGATACGGCTGCGCAGAAAAGATATTAGCATAGCCCAGAGGAGGACCCAAAAACATTAAGCAAGATAATATTACTAGTAGAACCAAATTCAATGTCTCATTCAAAACATTATTTTTGACATATTACATAACTCCTTATTTGCTTTTCTCATTTTCAATCAAATTACTATTTGTATAAAGGTGAGAGCATACACAGGCAAAGTTACAATGGAATCCACAGAAATCAATGCAGCAAAATCATTTGAGGCTACTAGGTCATATTTCCAAATTCTTGCAGACTAGGATACAACTGACTTCCTTGAACCTCCACCAGCATATCCTTATGAACAATAAATTAGAAGTTGAACCATATTTATGTTTTATATGATTTTCAGTATTGGGTAATAGTGGTTCATGTAAGTCTTTTCATAGTTCCAATGGAATAAAGGAGAACCAATTTTTCCAATCATTAGTTAGTGATGGATGCAATAGACAACAGTGTAAAGGTGGCAAGGGCTTTATTGTTGAGTCTTATGTATTAGCAGCAAATTTCTTGTTTTCTCTTTATATAAAATAAGGAACGATTTTCAATACAAAGACTTCTCCAGTCACATGCACACTAAAATATTTCACAGAAGTTTCTAGACTAAAGACTAAGCAAATAATCAGATAATATCATGTAAAAAATTATACACAACTTCCAGGATAAACAAAGCTAAATCTCCCAAAGGAAATTAAAAAATAATTTTGACTGCCTGTCTTGCCTAAATCTATCAATTCCAACCCCAACTTCTGCTAATACTCCCCGCAAATACTCTGCTGCTTTCCTTTGGGAGTGGGTGGCAGGGGAGAAAGGACACTGTTATTTGCAAGAAGGAGAGCTCAAATTCCTAAATCTGAGATGATAAAATGCAGCTCTAATGAGTAAGGATGCATTACTAGGAATGCAATGCCTATTTGGCCAACACCCGACTATGCCACAATCCATCCTTATCCTTCTTGACTTCTTCATTTAAGATGTCCAATATTTGTGGCCATGTTATGCCCTTTCAAACACAGAAGCACATTCATGCAGTAAATAAACGAGAACAAAAATTGAGCAGCAGCCAGGTCACACAAAGTGTATAGTAAATCCCTGGTTTCTTCACTAGCTAGACAGCAGTAAAACTGAAGAATTTGATAATATCATTGTTTGAAGCAAGCAGAATATTGCCCAAAAATGGATAAACATGGAGGGATGAAATGGGACATGAGGAAGAAGCTAGTCAGGTTAGCCCTAGCTCTTGTGGGAACTTTATCATCTTTCAAGATCCAAACAAGATTCTAAGATTTGAGGTTAAGGAGCACTATGCTAGGCTCTTTTAGTGATCTTAAGTTTTTAACATGTTTTAAGGCCCAGATATTACAAGGCTTTATCAAGATTTAAGGACTTGAGGTTAGCCTTCGCTCTTGTGATGACTTTATTAGATTTTAAGATCCATAAAATCTTTGAAGATTAAATGTTAAGGAAGCATATGGAACGCTGTTTTAGTGATTTTAATATGTTTAAAGGTAGGCTCCTCTTTTCTACTAATATTCTATCCATGAAAGACAACATTCACCCATAAGTTAAAATTCCTTCATGTCCTAAACAATTTTTTTAGCTTGGCAGAGAGTAATACGGTTTAATACAGTAAAATGCAACATAGCACAAAAAATATCTCACCTGCAACGCAGTTAGATATCACTGGTCCAAATAATAAAGCAGCACTCAACTACAGTAGTAAAAAAGTAAGAAACATACATAAAGAAGCATAAACCCTTGTGCATTAGTACCTTTCTAGCTTTTATTAGCTTCCTTTCAAGCTCTGCTTTAGCACGAGCCTGTCTTCGCCTCAGAATTCCTTGGTATTGTTTGGCATTTACATAAACAGGCTCCTGCGTCATCTCAAGGGGCAAAGGCATTCTGGCCTGAGGCATTCCTATAAAAGGAGCATATCCCTAAGAGTAAAAATATCATATGGTTATTTATCTCACTGTTATCCAAATATCGCCATTGGTTTGAACAAGACAATAGCACAAAAGGAGTTAAACAAATTTACCATTATAATAAAAGCATATCCCTTCAGGATTATGCACAACCTACATTTATTATCATACTAATTTATGGAAAATTGTAAATCAGCAATTCTGTCATGACCATTGTTGTTAAAACGTAGTGTCGACTCGGTAGAAACGGAAGAGTCTACATTTCTGACCCAAAAAACGTGTTGAAACGATGCTTGAAACGGATTTTGAGTTGACTCGGTTGAAACGACGAGTCAACTCGGTAAACTCGCAAGTTGACTCAGTTTTTTTTTTTTAAAAAAAAATTCAGCTTTTAAAAGGTTTTGGTTTTCACCTTTTTTGTACCAACACTATATTGCAAAGACAGCGAGAGCGGATTCGTGGCAAAAACACATGCAACTTCAGAAAGGGGGGAAAATACTAAAAACAAAACAGCGACCGACAATAGATTCATGGTCTCCATACCTGGAACAGAAACAGAGAGAGTAGCAATCAATTTTGTCTTTACCCGATTCAGCAAAGCAGAAAATTTGAGAAACCAAGAACGAAAAAATCATGACCTCAAGTTGAGAAAAGCAGAAGCGAAATTCAAATAAAAAAGTTGACTAGTAGCTAGCAGCAGATCCAAACAGAGAAACAAAAATGGCGAAAATTGGATGGTTTTAGGGGAAGCCGAAAATGGAAGGAAAAAGAAGGAGGAAAGTGAGAGAGAAAGAAGATGACAGTGGACTGAAGAAGGATAATAGAGAGAGAAAGAAGGAATATTAGAGGGAAAAGGAATAGAATAGAAAAAGAAAAGAAAGGGAAAAAGAAGTGATGAGGTAAGAGAGAGAGAAAGAAGGGCGGAGGGTGTGTTAATCAATAACGGGTAACAAAATTGCATCCTCACACACTACAGCGCACACGTGACATGAAATGTAAAATTGCAATTTAATATTGTTTTTAAGTCTCCCAAAAATAAATAATATTGAACTTAATTTTTATTTTCTTTAATATTTGGAATTAAACGTATGATGATTTATGTATTTATATGTTTTGATTATATATATGTTGGATATCTTTTTCTGTTTGGTACGTAGTAAACTCATACATTTCGTTTACGTTTCACGATTTTACGTTTTTGCTTATCCCTTTCGTTTCTAGTTAGAAACTACGTTTTAAGAACACTGGTCATGACAACCTCTAATCATGCATTAAAGCAGACTAATGTGACATACCAACTGCTGGTGACCATAAGCTGCCATCATGCCCCCATAGTATGGATCCTGATAAGGATTTGTAGCACATGCCTGCATCAAAAGAATTTGAAGAATACCCATCCAATCCAAATGCATGCAACTATTAGTTCTATAATAACAGAATTTCCATCAAAATGATAGACAAGAATCAGTATAGATATATGATATTGAATAAGTTCATTGATATTTGCACCATGTCTTTATGTTAACAAAGTGATAACAATAAAGGCAAAGACTTACAATTGAATGACCAACAAGTTCCAGCTGCGGCGTCTGAGTAAGGCACTCTTCACGCATGGAAGGTGCAGATGATGAAGTACGCTGCATCCCTTGGTGTTCTAGCCCATCATTTCCTACGAAGAAAAAAGAGAATTGTATTTCAGTATCTCCATGAGTTTATAATACTTGAATAAATGAAAAAATTACCCCAAATATAATTCGATGTTCCAATGTTGATCTTCCCTTATTTCATTGTTTGTAAATAGTTACATGATACACTAAAGCACCTGATTGATTAGGAGCAGCAGGCTGTGAATCCTTAGTTGCATCATCATCTTCCTCATTCAACCCACTATTGGCCAAAGACTGGCCTTCTTCATTGGATTCTGAATCACCATTCGGGCATTCAAGAGAGGATGAATGGGATGCATTTGCCCCAGACATTGCTTGGGCCATGGGATTGTACCCAATACCACGCCACCAAGGTTCAGAATAAACATTGCTAGGTTGAAAGGAATGCGGATCCGACCTCAGTCGATTTGCAGTTTCAGACTTGGACTGCATATCTTCAGATCCCTACAAAATGTGAAATATAGTGACATACAAATGTTATTCCTTATGCTAAAACAAAGCTATATCATAGTAAAACAACATTGACATGTTTCATAAGGGCAAATCTAATTCTTTTAAAATAATGCACGATACAAAAAAAAAAAAAAAAACAGTGAAATTGATTACGATTCATCATGAAAGGAAATAGATAAATCTTCTTAGGCAACCAGAAGTTACAAAACTCGTGTTCATTTTGTTTTTACTTGACCATACATTAGAGTTACAACTCTTGAAACAGAACACCTTTCAACTATTAGATACAGGCAAAGATATAAACCAGAGGAACAAAAAACCTAACACTAACTACGCAACAATTTTATTTTTTTAAGTCATATTTAGTCAAACAGACAACCAAACAGAACCATAGGACATACCAACACATGCAATCTTACTGTCGGCTGGACAACCATAGACACTATCTACGAAGCTCTGTTTCATAGAATTTCATCAATTTTGTTAGTTAACACCACCTTAAAACCCCCCAATTCTCCCCCTTTTTTCCACATTCACAATCAGCCCTAGCTCAGAAAAAAAAAAAACTCCTTCCCTGATTCCCATGCAACCACAGAATTCTTCGACCCAGATTCAAAAAAACAATAAAAAAGGGAAAATTCTTCCCTGATGAACGAACCCAAAAACCCTAATCCACAAAAAGCCTCGGAAAGAAACGAATCATGCAATCAAACCAAATCCCCCAAATCAATCAAGAGAAAAATCGAAGCAAAATCAAAGCACTCACTTACCTGGTGAAGAACAAAAAAACCCTAGATTTTGGGCACTCAGAGCCTGATAGGAAATTCAAAGGGTAGATTCCTCTCCCTCCCTCCCTCTCTCACTCTCTCTCTCTCTCCCTGAGTTCTCTCAATTTAGAACCAGAAATTAAAAACAACAACACAAATAATAATAGAGAAAATAAAATAAAATAAAAATGTAACAGTCTAAAAGTCTTGGTCTTTTTTAAGTCTTGAGTCTCCTCTTCTTCTTCTTTTCCAATTTTGCCTTATTTAATTATTTTCCACATTCAGTGACAGAGGTAATGATGACGTCACCTGCCTGTGGGTCCACCCATTCTACGGCTGGGACACGTTGACTGTAATGGGAAAACGGATGTGAGAGGAACTTGCGACAGCGGGATGCGAGTGAAGAGTGGCGGGGCGGGTGAGGTTATCAGGGCCCCTTCTAAAAGGCAACCAAATAGAGTAATTTGTGGCCCACGTGACACGCACTTGACAAGCAGAAATCCGCGAAACGCGTGGCCTCTCTGTGGGGACCACATCGTCCCAGCGTTGACAGCAACCTTGGCCACGTGTCCCCTTCTGGTTTCAAATTACATTTTTTTTCTTTATTTATCTATTTCTTTTTAATTAATTCCTTTTTGAAGCAACTGTCGATTTAATTTCTTTTGAAACAAAATTTATCATTACTTGCAACATAACATATCAAAATATGTATCGTGTTAACTTGTAAATAAAATATATTGTGTCTGTATTTCAGTATTTAGAAATTGACAATAATTATTATTGTGTCATGTTCTGAGTTGATTTGTCTATAATTTTTTTTGTCTAAAATAAAAAAATTAAAATTTTGATACAACCCGCTGTGAATCATGGGATAATTCATATATTTTATTTAATTTATTTATGATTTTATTAAAAATAATTTTTTTATTTTTTACATGTATTGTGATAAATGAGCTAGGTCTTTGCCTTAACGCAAGGTGCCAGGTCTTTTTCTGAATTTGGTGACAAGTAAGTCAGGGTCCCAATACGCAAATGAGCCAGCATGGCAGACAAGTATAGCCTAGGGTTTAAGGATACGATTGAGAATATGGAACATAAGAACCTTGACGGGTAAATTGAGGGAGTTAGCAAATATTTTTTCTAGAAGGAAAATGAATATTGTTTACTTGAAAAAAACTAAATGGGTTGGAGAAAAGGCAAAGGAAGTGGATGGTATAGGTTTCAAGTTGTAGTATACGGGTATAAACAATAGTTGAAATGGTTTTGAAATTATGATCGATAGAAGTTTTAGAGATAAAATTGTCAACGTCAAAAGGAAAGGCGATAGGATTATTCTGGTTAAGCTTTATTGAGAAAGGTTTTCAGTATATCGATATTGAATAATTACATGAGGAATGAGGAGTATTTATACAAGAAAAAATAGCTAAGCATGACTTAGCTATGACTCACCAAACCTAATCACAATCATAAGAATGACTCAGTTATGAGTCACTAAACCTAATCACAATTAATTCTAATTAATTACAATTAATCCTAATTAATTACAATTAATCCTAATTAATTACAATTAATTCTAACTACTAGGAAATAAAAGACAATCAATCCTAATTAATCTTAATGATTCCTAATAAATAAAAACGGAAAAATATTTGAATTTGAATTCTGATTTTCTACACTTAAATGTTGATCATTCCCAACTTGCCAATCAAGTCTTCAAAGGCTGGCCGGTGTAGGCCCTTAGTGAGAATATCTGCAATCTGCTCATCAGTCCCGAGTCATGTTCCTGGAAAACACAAGCATTGACAGAAAACTTGGCAACACAATGTAACTCAGACGTAAGTTTGCTGATAGAGATAAGGTTACAAGTAAGAGAGGGAACATGAAGGACTGAGTTCAAAGTAATGTGTTCAGGAAGTTTAATGGATCCATTTCCAGCAATAGTAGATAAGCTTCCATCTGCTGTTCTTATTCGTGATTGTTGATAGTAAGGGGTATAAGAACAAAATAAGGTTGCATTACCTGTCATATGATCTGAAGCCCCTGAATCAAGAATTCATCGACTACTATTATCAACATGGAACGCTATACCTTGTTGAGCAACATTGCTGGATGGAAATTTACTTTCAATCAACGTGGCTGCGTGTGGTAACGCGTAGGGCGGACGCTCCGTCCTTTCTCTAGCGCGTGGGGGCGCGTGGCTCAGCAGAATCCGATGGTCCTTCTTGAAACTTGTAGATCGGCTCCTTCTGTTTCGAATGGTGCGGATCTTGGTCGGAAATGTCGTCAAAAAAAATTTCCGACGGTGGCTGACGGCGGTGGAAAGCTGGGATTTTGCCTTCTACAATGATTGGTAGCTTTACTTTGCTCTTGGGACTTTGTAGGAAGGGAAAATAACCTTAATAATGGTTGGAGGTTGAGTTTTCCGGCGTTGTGCCGCCGGTTTGACGGTGGTTGTGGTGGTTGAGTTTTCTCAGAACCAACCTGCTCTGATACCATATTGAGAAAGGTTTTCAGTATATCGATATTGAATAATTACATGAGGAATGAGGAGTATTTATACAAGAAAAAATAGCTAAGCATGACTCAGCTATGACTCACCAAACCTAATCACAATCATAAGAATGACTCAGCTATGACTCACTAAACCTAATCACAATTAATTCTAATTAATTACAATTAATCCTAATTAATTACAATTAATCCTAATTAATTACAATAATCCTAACTACTAGGAAATAAAAAACAATCAATCCTAATTAATGTTAATTATTCCTAATAAATAAAAACGGAAAAATATTTGAATTTGAATTCTGATTTTCTACAAGCTTGTAGTGGGTGACTTAATTTTGAATATTCTTCGTGTGTATGCACCCCAAGTTGGATTGCAATCAAACAATAAGAGCCAATTTTGGGAAGATTTGGAGGAGGTTTTGAGGAGAATACCACGAGAGGAGAAGATTTTCTTAGGAGGAGACCTAAATGGTCATGTTGGCAGTGAATGTTTCGATAGAATTCGTGGAGGTTTTGGCTATAGGACGAGAAATGAGACTGGAGAAGATATCTTGAACATTGCACTAGCCTACGATTTGATGCTAGCTTACACTTTTTTCGAAAAAAGGAGTCACATCTAATCATATATCATAGTGACCAAAATCGTAGTCAGATTGATTTCTTTATGGCTAGAAGAGAAGATAGAACTTCTTGTGTCGACTGCAAAGTCTATCTTGGAGAGTGTGTCACTACGCAATATAAGCTGGTAGAACCAGAGGTTCGGTTCATCAAAGTACTTAAAATGAGGAAGATGGCTTAGAACCCAAGGATAAGATGGTGGAAGCTAAAAGAGGAAAAACAAATAGAGTTCAAGGAAAAAATATTGCATGAAGGACCATAGGAATTTGATGGAGAAGCAAATGAAATATGGAATGAGATTATGTGTATCCAAATGTGGTAAAGAGGGTGCTAGGAGAAAGCAAAGGAAATGAGATTTAATACAAAGGAAACACGGTGGTGGAATGGAGAGGTGCAGGAGGAAATTAAACAAAAGGAGAAATGCTTTCGATCTTTGCATAAAAGTCCCAATGATGAGAACTTGCAAAGTTTAGATTGGCGAGAAAAATGTAAAGAAAGTTGTGCGAGAAGTTAGAGGCAAGGTTTTCGCTGATTTGTATAAAAATCTTGGGAGTAAAGATGGTGAAAAAGGTATATATAAGCTTGCAAAAATAAGAGATAATAAAAGTAAAGATCTCACCCAAGTTAGATGCAACAAAGATGAAAATCAAAAACTTCTGCTAAGAGAAAAATATGTAAATGAAAGATAGAAGAACTACTTTAACAAGCATTTTAATTAGAGATGACAATACGGGTTGGCCAGTCCTGACCCGCCATCAACCCGCTAAAAATGGGGCGGGTTGACCCACCATTGAATATAGGTTAAAAAAATAAACCCTCCCCGTTTTATAGTGGGTTTGCGGATTGGCGGGTTAACCCCCAACCCGTCAATTAAAATAATAATAATTAAAATTCAAAAATAAATAATATTTTATGAATTTTATAATATTACTTAATTTTATTTCACATTTCCAATTTCAATCTTAAATATATACTAATATTCAGTTAAACATTTTTTAAGAACTCATTTGTCTCCCTATATAGATAACATCTGTCATAAATAAAGTTTTTATTCTTTATTTTTCTAGGGAATACTAAGATAAAAAAAATTGGATATCACAAAAGCTTAGTGACAAATAAAATACTACTTAATTATGAAAAACAAAATTAATTCTGATCCGGTCGGTTGAATCCGTTTTGACCCACTTTTAGCGGGGCAGGTTGAAGGGGGTTGGCGGATTGAAAACCTCAACCCAACCCGTCCTGTTTTGGCGGGTTAGAGATGACGATAAAAGCGAGATGGACTTGGAAGACATTTGTGATGATTTGAATAGAATATTTGTGCGTAGAATCAATACTTATGAAGTTAAGGAGGCTTTAAAGAGGATGAAGACTAAAAAAGCCTTGGTACCCGATGATGTCCCTATTGAAGTGTGGAGAGGCCTGGGGATGTGACAATAAAATGGTTGGCCAATCTTTTCAATAAGATTTGTCAGACAAATAAGATGTTTGATGCATGGAGGAAAAATATGCTTGTGCCTATTTACAAAAACAATGGGGATATTCAGAATTGTTTTAATTATAGAGGCATTAAGCTAATGAGCCATACTATGAAGTTGTGGAAGAGAGTTATTGAACATTGCTTGATGAGAGAGACCAAGGTTTCTATAAATCAATTTGGATTTATGCCAGGAAGATGCACCATGGAAGCCATTTCTTGATGCGACAATTAATGGAAAGAAATTGAGAAAAGAAGAAGGACTTACATATGATGTTCATAGATATTGAGAAAGTATACAATAGGGTTCCAAGAAAAGTATGAGAAGGCCTCTAGATGCTCTCATAAGAACAAAAATTTGTTACTAAGAGCTCGACACAAAGAGAGATAGAGATACACTGAAACCTACTTGAGGAAAGGTAGTAAAACAAAACTTGTTGAAATGAGATATAAGAATGGATAATGGTTACACCTGTTTGTTATTTTTAGGTTTCAGACAAATCCTTTTTAGTCATTTTCCTCTTTATTTTCCCCTTCCCATTTTTTTCACACC